AGAGAGCCCGAAGGAACCACCGGACAGTGAAGGGTGGTGGAGCTACGGGCGACTACCGGACGTGAGGAGGGGACGGCAAGGGAAACTGCGGCGGGAGCGGCAAGCGGCATCAGTGTAGTGGAGTCGCGAAAGAAACACCGGGAAGCTCCAGAGTCCAGGGTAAAGGAGAGCACAGCAGTGGCGGTCGGGGTCGGAGTTGCGAGGGAGGAGCCAAGACTAAACAAGGCAGGGGATCCTACGCCTGACGCAGCAGGGGAGGCCGAACGAGGCACACCTACACTAGGCAACAAGGGGTAGTAGGAACCAGTCACACTAGAGTCATCGACATACAGCACATACAAAGCAGAGCTAATCTCATCCATGTCCATATCAAAGATCTGAACACTATGGAGAAGCAAGCTGTGCCAGTCGGGGAGGTCGGGCGATGGGCCGAAGCGAAGACGAAACAGGTCGTCCAGGCGACGAAAACAGCGGGCGGGGGTGTGACCGATCTTACCGCACACGGAGCCGTGGCGAGGACCTGTCTGGAGCTGGTACTGACAGCACCCATCACCCGAACTACTACCCGACGGCACACTGCGCGCACGACCACCATGTCCACCGCCACCACCAGCGCCAGGCCACCCGGGCGGGAGACCACCAGCCCGCCGCTGCTGCTGCTGCTGCTGGTCCTGCTGCTCGTCCTGCTGCTCGAAGGCACCTGCCCCAGTCCCCTCGTCCGTACTACCAGCGGGCGGCCTGGCTCCACCACCTCCTCCACCCCCTCCTCCACTACCGCCGCCGTGCCCATCCTTGGGGCAGCGACCCTTCTCCGGACAGAACTGCGCTGCGGCGGCTGTCGCCACAGCAAGCGTTGTCTCAGCGACAGCAGCAGAACCATCAGAGAAAGTACACTGAGCGAGGGCACAACCCTGAAAGATAGTGACCGGCATAGTAGCGCTAGACTGGGCGATAGAGCGCTGGCGGATCTCTATGGCGGACAGGGTGTCGACAAAGTCAGTGAGGGTGAGGTCAACGGGGTGGAGACTAAGGAAGTGATCGCGGGCGATAGCAAGGCGGTCACGAAGGCGTGTGGCAAGCAGGTAGAGGGTAGAGCAGATGGGTGGCTGAAAGACACGAAGCTAGGACTCAGTGCAGGCAGCGCGCCAAGTCGCATCTAGCGTGCGCAGGTGGGCGGCCAGGTCAGTGACCGTGGGGAAAGACGCGAGATCGGGAAAGAGCATGGGTAGGATCAGACGACCGAGTGAGGCAGCGGGTGGGGTGGAGTACCACGCGACAGCAGCCTCAAGGAACTCCTGCGCAGTCCTGACTGACCGAAACAGTGTGCGCTTAGTCAGGGGGAGGGCATGACTGATCGCGAGCTGTGCGACTGCGTCACGCAACAGCCAGACTGAGCGGGCAAGGGCGGCAGCGGCTGCGGACTCACGGTCAGTAGACGAGGGGTCAGCGGGCAAGGCAGCAGAGGGGGTCAGGGCAGGGGAGCGTACCGTCGAGGTGGACGGCCAAGGAGTGGCCACCCTGCCGCTGACCAGTGAGGTGACGGCGGAGGTCGACGAGCCACGTGTCGAACTCGACCGGCTGGCCCTCCGCGTCGAAACGCAGCACCGAGTCCGCCATCAGAAGGCTGTGCAGTGCAGTGCATGGCGCTGCAGTGTGGTGCAGGGTCAGCGCGGGCCGGCTGGAAGGCGAGGCCGGTTGGGCGACGGGGCCGACGCGGCGACGGGGTCGGCTAGGTGACGGGGCCAGCTACCTGGCGGAGTCGGCTCGGCGTGGTCAGCTACGCGACGGGGTCGGCTTCGGGACGGGGCCGGCAACGGGACGGGGCCAGCTGCAGGACGGGGCCGGCTACGGGGACGGGGCCGCGGGGCCGCTAGGGGACGGGGCCGCTGGTCGACGGGGCCGAGGGGCCGCTAGGGGACGGGGCTGCGGGGCCGCTGGTCGACGGGGCCGAGGGGCTGCTAGGAGACAGGGCCGCAAGGCCGCTAGGGGACGGGGCCGCGGGGCCGCTTGGGGACGGGGCCGCGGGGCCGCTAGGGGACGGGGCCGCGAGGCCGCTGGTCGACGGGGCCGAGGTGCGGCTAGGAGACGGGGCCGCTGGGCCGCTAGGGGACGGGGCCGCGAGGCCGCTGGTCGACGGGGCCGAGGGGCCGCTAGGAGACGGGGCCGCGGGGCTGCTAGGGGACGAGGCCGCGTGGCTGCTGGTCGACGGGGCCGAGGGGCCGCTAGGGGACGGGGCCGCAGGGCTGCTGGTCGACAGGGCCGAGGGGCCGCTAGGGGACGGGGCCGCGGGGCCGCTGGTCGACGGGGCCGAGGGGCCGCTAGGGGACGGGGCCGCGTGGCCGCTAGGAGACGATGCCGTGGGGCCGCTAGGGGAAGGGGTAGGCGAGATGGCTAGGACCTACAGCGGAAGCGCTGGTGGGCGAATGGGACCTAACCTACTCATGATACCATAACAAATTGAAAGAATGACTAGAATGTGAGAGTACAAGGCATTGTAATCTAGGGGGTTGTACTCTCTAAGGCACAACCCTATATGGTCTACAACATCATACACAAATGTGTTTGACACCCCTTCCCCGAGGATCTTCTCAAGGGTAACCCCAGCAGGTCACTCGACACCCCCCCTCGTTGTGATAGGTGGAAGACACGAGCGCCTCTGCAGCGCTAGCACTGGGAATTGAACCGGAGTCACCAATGCTCTGATATCATGTCAGAACTCAGCCACTAACCATTGAGTTAAAAGGGCTTGTTCAAACCCCACAGCAAAATAGAAGAGGGGTTATCAAGCTGGGACCCCACTTGATGGAGCCCCCCCCCCTCCAGACGCTAGAGGGGTTGGGTTGGAACAGAGAGGGGATAGTTTGGGGGCAGGGCAGGTTTCGAAATGGCACGCAATGCCCCATTGATGCAATGATGGCTCATAAAATTACGTTTCGGCATGCGACGAGACCCAGGGTCGCATGAAAACCCAAGCAGCCAATAGAACGGGGGCATCAAAGCGGGCGTGGATGCGCTTCAGCTCCACAAGGAACGAGGATCTTGGAATGGGACAGCCAGCATCGCATAGCCGCGTAAATGGCAAAAAGGAAGGCGCGAGCGATTTTGCGAGCAATTTCGGAGCGCTATAAAGAGGGTAACCACATCCACCCTGACAAAACTAAACAATGCCGATGTGCTGTAAAAGGGGGCACGTGATTGGTCGAAGGCAAACAGACCTTCGCAAATACAGCCCAAATCCCCATTCCTTTATACCTGAAACGGAAGGAAAAGACTTGGCATCGATTTGTAAGCTAGGACCCAGGCGAGCTTAACTTTAGACTCATATCTGGCTAACAGTAGAGTTCCTCACGCGCGTAGCCTAGCCTGGGCGATATAGAGCAAGAAATAAAAGAAAGGAATAAAGGATGAAGGTTCTGCTTCGTCACGCTACCCACTTTCCCTCGCTTCCCACTTTTCGCTTTCCCTCGCTCCCACTTCCTGCTTTTCCCTCGCTTCCCGCTTCTCGCTTTCCCGCGCTTCCTGCTTACCGCATTTTCGTTTCCCTCTTTCCGCTTTCCCTTGTTTCCCGCTTGCCGCTTTCCCGTGCTTCCCGCTTCCCGCTTTCCGCGCGTTCCCACGCTTCCCGCTGACCCTCGCTTCCCGCTTCCCACGTTCCCTCGCTTTTCGCTTCCCGCTTCCCACTGACCCCCGCTTCTCGCTTCCTCCCTTCCCCCTGCTTCCCGCTTTCCCTCTCTTCCCGCTTTTGGGAGCTTCGTGAGGAGGGAGAGCAAGGAAGGGGTCGAGGCGAAGCAGCAGGGAAGAGAGCGAGGCCCACCTCCGGAGGGGGAGAGGAGGGAGAGCAGGGAGGGAGAGAGGGGTGAGAGCAGGGGAGGGGGAAAGGAGTGAGAGCAACAAAGACAGTGAGGAGTGAAAGAAGGGGAGGGGGGGAGGGGGGAGGAGGGAGAGCGGGGAAGGACGAGAGGTGGGAGAGCACGGGAGGGGGAAAGGCATGAGAGCAGGGGAGGGGGAGTGGCAAGAGAGTAGGGGAGGGGGAGTGGCGCGAGAGCAGGGGAGGGGGAGTGGCGCGAGAGCAGGGAAGGGGGAGTGGCGTGAGAGCAGGGGAGGGGGAGTGGCGTGAGAGCAGGGGAGGGGGAGTGGCGTGAGAGCAGGGGAGGGGGAGTGGCGTGAGAGCATGGGAGGGGGAGTGGCGTGAGAGCATGGGAGGGGGAGTGGCGTGAGAGCAGGGGAGGGGGAGTGGCGTGAGAGCAGGGGAGGGGGAGTGGCGTGAGAGCAGGGGAGGGGGAGTGGCGTGAGAGCAGGGGAGGGGGAGTGGCGTGAGAGCAGGGGAGGGGGAGTGGCGTGAGAGCATGGGAGGGGGAGTGGCGTGAGAGCATGGGAGGGGGAGTGGCGTGAGAGCATGGGAGGGGGAGTGGCGTGAGAGCATGGGAGGGGGAGTGGCGTGAGAGCATGGGAGGGGGAGTGGCGTGAGAGCATGGGAGGGGGAGTGGCGTGAGAGCAGGGGAGGGGGAGTGGCGTGAGAGCATGGGAGGGGGAGTGGCGTGAGAGCAGGGGAGGGGGAGTGGCGTGAGAGCATGGGAGGGATTGAGGTAAACGAGCAGGGGAGGGAGAGTGGAGGGAATGAACGCGAGGCGTGAGAGCAGGGGAGCCGGCGTCCTGCTTCCTCCTGCTTCCCTCTTCCCCCTGCTTCCCTCTTCCTCCTGCTTCCCTCTTCCCCCTGCTTCCCGGCTCTCCTTGCTTCCCCCCCCCCCTCCCTGCTATACCTGCTGGTTTCCCCCCTGTCCCCTATCCCCCCTGTCTCCGATATACACCCAATCACCCTTCCCTCCCTCCCTCCCTCCCCCATTCTCACTCTCCCTCCCCCACTTGGCACTTTGTGCTCCCACTATTCCCTTCCGCAGGAGTCGAAAACGTTGGAGCCAATGGTCCAGAGTGCCAGCACCAGAATTCTGGGCCTAGTAGTTGTATACCGCTTATTGCAGAGTCCATTAAGTTTTTCTCAGTATGGGAGATGTTTGCACAATTGCCACGAGTTATATAAACATGCCACAGCGAAGGATGGCTACAGTGTTTGAGATATTGAGCCATTGGTATATGCAAGTGTGGGCGCCACTTTGAGGTGCCTTGCATCGACCCTTGTTACATCCTCTGCTGCCACCCCTAAGTACCTCACAGAGCACAATGTTGCAAGAATTTGGGTATGAGGGATGGGAGGACAGAGGGCCAGAGGGATGGGCATGGAGGGAGAAAGAGGGGAGAAGCGTGTGTGAGGTATTGGGCAGAACGAGAGAGGATGGAGAGGATGGGCAGCAGAGCACGAGGAACGGGGGTATTGGGAGCAAGGCATGACGTTCGTGTGCAAACGAAAGGGGTGTGAGATAGAATGAGTAGAAAGGAGAGGAAGAGAGCGAGGGGAAGACCAGCGCAAGATTTGCATTTGCAGGTTCACTGCACGAGAAGTTCCTCAAGGCTATGCACGGAGGCGGAGGAGGAGCAACGGACTACACTCAAACCGTGAGAAACTAGGAAGGGAACAATAGGGGGGTGGGAGAGGAGGTGAGTTTGACAGGCGGCGTGAGAGGGAGAGGGACGGGCAGCGTGAGAGGGAGAGGAACGGGCAGTGTGAGAGGGGGAGGGACGGGCAGTGTGAGAGGGAGAGGGACGCGCAGCGTGAGAGGGAGAGGGACGGGCAGCGTGAGAGGGAGAGGGACAGGCAGCATGAGAGGGAGAGGGACGGGCAGCGTGAGAGGGAGAGGGACGGGCGGCGTGAGAGGGAGAGGGATGGGCGGCGTGGGAGTGAGAGGGATGGGCAGCGTGAGAGGGAGAGGGACAGGCAGCGTGGGAGTGAGAGGGATGGGCAGCGTTAGAGGAAGAGGGACGGGCGGCTTGAGAGTGAGAGGGACGGGCAGCATGAGAGTGAGAGGGACGGGCAGCGAGAGTGGGAGAGGGACGGATGGCATGAGAGGGAGAGGGACGGACAGCGTGAGAGTGAGACGAAAGCGGGAAGCGGGGAGCGGGAAGGGGGACGCGGCAAGAGGGAGCGGAAAGCGGGAAACCGGGAGAAGCAATCGGGAAGCAGGAGGCGGGAAGAGGGAAGCGGGACGCGGGTAGCGGGAAGCGGGATGCGGAACGCGGGGAGCGGGAAGCGGGAGGCAGCAGGAAACCTCAGGCAGGCGGGAAGCTGGGAGCAGGTCGAGAGATGCGGAAAGCGGGGAGTAGGAAGCGGCGAGCGGGAGCGTGGCGCGGAACGCGGGAAGCGGGGAGCTGGCTTGGATGGAACGGGGCACGGCAAGTGGTAGGCAGCGGCCAGTGGGACGCTGGAAGTGGGAAGTGGGAAGTGGGTGGCCGGTTGCAGCGGCAGCGGCTCACGATAAGCACGAGCCTGGAAGTGGGAAGCAATGGGAAATGGGAGAGGGAAGCGGGGTGCGGGAGGATCGAGACCATCTCGCTGGGTGTAGCGTATCTCTTGTCCGCCCTTGTTCCTAGGACCTTTTCAAAACCCGTTTTGGGTGCAGGAAACTCTTACTGCCTTGTCTGGATAAAGTCTGCCGTTCGATATGTCCCCAGTGGTGCGGATTTTACACTGCTAGAAGTCGGAGTGTTGGGCTATGGCAAATCGCTTGGAGTGAAGGACTTAGTGTAGGAATAGCAGAGGGGGGTCCCTCTTGAAATTCAAGACGAACCCCCTTGTTCCTGACAGTCTTTTGCCACCCTTGTCGCGCAATCGTGCGACATGCTGTTCGACGGGCTGCCGACGCGGGAATTTCACACTTTCGTTTTGCGTGCACATTCTCTCTACAGACCGCGCATGTGTTATGATTTGGCCAATGGGAGGGCAGTTTTGTTTTTCTCGTTTCGTTCAGTGCGAAGTTGTGCGCACTTGCGACCAGATGTATCATCGTCCAAAAAGGGACTTGGTTTTTTCAGGAGGGGCTTCGATCAAGAGGGCCCCCCCTCTTCTATTTTGCCATGGGGTTTTAATAGCGGGTTAGTGCGCCCATAACCCCCCAGGCTCTGCACCTATGGCCGTTCCCTGATGATCTTCTCAAGGGTAACCCCAACGGGTGACTTGTAAGGAATTAGTAATTCCTTACAGAGGCTTGCTACAGGGCGTACGACTCGAACAGTCCCGAACCATCGCCAGAGTTCCAGACCTATCAGTTCGAGCCTCCTTGGCCTTTCCGGACCTCGCTACGACACATCGAGTATCAGAATAATTGAATAATGGTAAAGTGAGAGTACACACAAATATATCTAAGTTTTGTATCCTCTAAGAGGTGACTCTATACAGTCTATACAAACATGACAAATACACATGTTTGACACACCCCCTAGACTGCATAGGGGAATACCCTAAACAAGCAGCTCAGGGCGGCACTACTAGTCCAACCTCTGAGACAAGGGTCTGAGCGACCGGTCAGAAGGAGTACAGACAAGGCAAGCACAAGAGCAGGGCGACACTACTAGTCCAGCCACTGGGAGAGGACACAAGTCCAGTCTGAGTATACATATAAAGGACAGTACAAAGTCAAGGTCCTAGCAAGTGAGAGGCTACAGGAACTAGACCAAGCTGTACACAGTGCCGCTGATGATCTTTAGGCGCAAGCGCCTTCGTAAAGATATCAGCCGTGTTGGCACCTGAGGCCAAGTGTACTACGCGAGCCTGACGTCGCTGCTGTAGCTCACGCAGGAGGAAGTACCGCAGCTGAATGTGCTTCGCTCTGCCCTCGAGTCGAGGCTCCTGACACAGGAGGATCATGGCCCTGTTGTCAGCGAACAGGACCGGGGCAGAGCTAGGTCGCTCACCTAAGTCAGTGAGCAAGAAGGTCAGCCAGCGGAGCTCCTGTGCCGCAATGGCACCGGCGTAGATCTCAGCCTCACAGCTGGACTGTGCAACAGACGAGGAGCGAGTAGCTCTCCACGAGACGGCACCTGAGCCAAGGCTGAAGCAGTAGCCCTGGGTAGACCGGAGTGTCTCAGCGTCGTCTGCCCACGAAGCGTCTGTGTGCCCAGTAAGGACCGCTGGCCTGCGTCCTCCTAGCACTAACCCCATGCCCGATGTACTAGCAAGATAACGCAGAACCCTCTTAGCGGCAGACCAGTGCTGCGGTCGGTGTCTGCCTGTGGCCACAAAGCGAGCCAGGATGCTGAGAGGGTATGCGAGATCTGGGCGAGTGCAAGTCATCAGGTACATGAGGCAACCCACCAGCTCTGCGTAGGGGCCGCTGGGCTCTACCAACTCCTCAGGCACTGGAGCGGAGAGCCTGTGGTCTACAGGCAGAGGGGTGGGCTGTGCAGAGGAGAACTGAAGGCTGAACCTCTGAAGGACCTGGCGCACCAAGTGTGACTGAGTCAGGGTGATGGTGCGCGCAGCTCTGTCCCTGGAGATCTGCAAGCCAAGGTAACGGCGCAGTTCTCCAAGGTCAGTGCAGGTGTGTCTCTTCAGCAGCTCTGCCTTCACGGAGGCCAGCGCGTCCCTGTCTGCTGTGGCAAAGACCAGGTCGTCGACGTAAACGAGGATGTAGAACGGAGTCTGGCCAGCACGAACGAAGAGTGAAGGGTCTGCAGAAGACGGAAAGAACTGCAGGTCAGCAAGCGTAGCACGCAGAGTGTCGTGCCACTCACGGGGAGCCTGGCGCAGGCCGTAGACGGGGCGCCGCAGGAGCCACTGGGTCCCAGGAGGGAAGGTGCCAGTAAAGCCCGGAGGGCGGCGCAGGTAGACCTGCTCGTGTAGGCTGCCCTGAAGGAAGGCAGTGGAGAAGTCGAGGGAGTGAAGCTCGTAGTCACGCTGAGCAGCTAGGTGTAACAGAACCCGAAGAGTAGTCATCTTCGGGGTCGGAGCGAAAGTCTGGAAGAAGTCCACCCCCTCGCGCTGACTGAAGCCTCTAGCCACATAGCGCGCCTTGAAGACAGGCGGCTCTCCAGGAGGGCGCTTCACCTTGAAGAGCCAGCGGCCATCGACTACGTTCACCCCAGGTGGGGGAACTGCGTCGACGAAGGTGCCGGTGGATCTCCAAGATGCCATCTCCTGCTCCATGGCAGCTATCCACTGCGAGGCCCAGGGTCCCGAAGTCGCCTCAGCGTAAGTGCGAGGGGTCGGGATGTCGAAAGCGTCTGGGTCACCCTCAGGGACTAGCAGCATGGAACAGAGATGGGGAGCAGCCTCGGAGAGGAAAGCAAGCTCGAACTGGCGGTCCTCCAGGACGTCACTGCCAAGGGCAGGAGCACCCCCGACAGACGGAGTACAGGCAGGGTCAGAGACCAGAGCGGTGGCGTAGTCAAGGCGGCGGGTAGAGGCGAAGTCAGCGACAGCAGCGACAAGAGCGTCAAGGCACGAGACTGGAACAGACGAGTCGGTAACGAGAGAGGCAAGGACCCGAGGAACGAGAGGACGAGCGGCACGAAGGTAGTCGGACAGCGGGGGGGGCGCAACAACAAGGGAGGACGGAGGAGGCGACGGCAGAAGGGGAGGACGAGACGCGTGTGAACGAAGCAACATAGGGTGGGAGCGCAGGACAGGCGAGGCAGGACGAGCACGGGAGGGACGGTGAGACCAGACGTGCGATGGAGGAGTCGGGTCAGGAGACAGGGGAGGGGACACAGGAGGGGAACGAGGGGGGAGACGGGCCGGGGACGAGTCCGGCGGAGGGAAAACAGGGCCGTAGACAGGAAGAGGAGGAGACGGTCGGGGAGGAACCGACGCAGGGTCGGGGGACGGAAGGCCGAGCAGGCGAAGGGCGGACACCGGCGGGGACTGCTGCTGCGGCGGCACAACGGCGACACCTGGACCGCAAGCTGCTCCTCGGCTACCACCGGCACTCTCCACACCCGCACCCCCAGAGGGACCACCCTCAGGGCGACCGGGACGAGCACCCCCAGAGTCAGCGAACGGGGGCTGCGACTGCGGCGGCGGCGGCGGCGGCGGCGACGGCGACGGCTGCAGTGGCGGAAGGGACGGCGGAGGAGGGGACTGGGGAGGGGACACCTGGGGAGGGGCGGCCGGCGAGGACTGCACCGGAGGGCCACCAGAGTCAGAAGACTCCTCAACCGGGTCCACGGACGGAAGGGGGGTGACATGGGAGACACCAGAGGGGGCGGGACGGGGAGGAGGAGGAGGAGGGGCAGGGACTACCGGGGAAGGGGTGACCAGGAACAGGGGGGGGGTAACCGGGGGACCACGGTGGGGGAAGCGGCGGTAGTAGGAGACGGACTCGTCAAAGGTGACGTCACGAGAGTGAAAGAAGCGGTGAGACGGCGGGTGGTAAAAGTGCCAGTCGGACGCGTCAAGGGGAAAACCGAGGAAGACGCAGGGAAGGGTGCGGGCAGTGAGCTTGTCCGTGCCGGAGGCACGGACGTGAGCAAGGCAGCCCCAGACGTGGAACGCAGACGCGTCACCAGGAGACCCAGTCCACAGACGGGTCGGCGAAACCTGCGGCTGCTGAGGGTGCGGCCACAGGTTAAGCTGGTGAGAAGCGTAGCGCACAGCGAACGGCCACAGAAAATGGGGTGCACCGGCATGGACCATGGAGGTGCGAGCGACCTCCATGACCAAGCCGATGCGTCGCTCAGCGACCCCATTCTGCTGTGGGGAGTCCGGTAGGGTGAACGTCTGGGTGATGCCCTCCGCACGACAAAAGCGACCAAGGACACCTGAGGCAAACTCGCCACCACGGTCTGAGTGAAGACGCAAGACAGGGAGACCGCGGTGGACACGCGCAGAGACAAGCCAGGGGATGAGGGCGCCAGGCACGTCGGCCTTGCGCTCCAGGGGAAAGACTGTGGTGTAACGAGTGAAGTCGTCGACAAGCACAACGAAGTAGCGCTCGCGACGCGGCCCAGGGACGGGGGCGGGGCCCCAGACGTCCAGGTGCAGGGTCTGCAGCGGCGCGGCGGTAGGGGGGAACGAGGAGGAGTGAGGGGCACGGCGAAGCCGACCCTCGACACAAGGCGTGCAAGGTGGAGCTGGGGAGGAGGGAAACGCGGGGAGTGAACCTGGGAGACCAAGGACAAGACCGTGCTGGGACATGTGACGCAGACGCGGGAGCGCAGGGTGACCTAGGCGGTGGTGCCACAGGAGGGTCGGGTGAGTGAGGGAGCGACAGGAGCAGGCAGCAGCAACCTGGGTAGACACAGCCACCTGAGGGGGCGCTCCAGCCGGGGGGGGCACGGTGTCCAGAGTGAACAGGCCGGACACCGGGTCCCGGGGGAACGTGGACAGGGGGGCACCAGTGGCGGCCTCGGTACAGACAGCATACCGCTCGTGACCAGGGAACGTAGTGGTGACGCCAAGGTCCTGGAGGCAGCCGACACCAACTAGGTTCCTGGAGAACGAGGGGATATGCAGACCTGTAAGAGAGCCCGAAGGAACCGCCGGACAGGGAAGGGTGGTGGAACTGCGCGCGACTACCGGGCCGCCGGAGGGGTCAGCAAGAGAAACGGCAGCAGGAACAGGAAGCGGCGTCAGGGTGGTGGAGTCGCGGAAGAAACACCGAGAGGCGCCAGAGTCCAAGGTGAAGGAAAGCGAAGCCGAGGGGTCTGGCGACGGAACGACGGCAGAAGCACCAAGACTACACAAAGCAGGGGATCCTACGCCTGACGCAGCAGGGGAGGCTAAGCTAGGCACACCTACACTAGGCAACAGTGAGTAATAAGTCGGAAGCACACTAGAGTCATCAGCATACATCACATGCAGAGCAGAAACAATGGCATCCATGTCCATATCAAAGATCTGAATCTGACGACTAAGCAAACTGTGCCAGTCCGGGAGGTCTGGCGACGGGCCGAAACGCTGACGAAAGAGGTCGTCCAGGCGACGAAAGCAGCGGGGAGTGGAGTGACCGATCTTACCGCAAACGAAACCGCGGCGAGGACCGGTCTGGATCTGGTACTGACAACGCCCGCCGGCAGAGCCACCACGCGGCACACCACCACGCGCCCGTCCACCGCCAGCGCCGGGCCACCCTGGCGGGAGAACACTCGTCTGCCGCGTCTGCGACGGCTGCTGCGGCTGCTGCGAAGGCTGCGACTGCGGCGGCTGCTGCGGCTGCTGCAACTGCAGGGGCGGCGACTCAGCTGGACTGGGCAGGGTCCCCTCGTCCGCTCCAGCACCAGGCGACCCGACCCCACCACTACCCCCGCCCGCACCCCCGCCGCCCCCTCCGCCGCGCCCAGCCTTGGGGCGGCGGCCCTTCCCAGAACGGGCCTGCGCTGCAGCAGCAGTCTCAGCCACTGCGGCAGAGCCGTCGGAGAAGGTACACTGAGCGGGGGCACAACCCTGAAAGATAGGGACCGGCACGACACCGCTCGCCTGGGCGATGGAGCGGTGACGGGTCTCTATCACAGTCAGGGTGTCGACAAAGTCAGTGAGGGTGAGGTCTGCGGGGTGAACACTAAGGAAGCGGTCGCGGGCGACAGCAAGGCGGTCAGGGAGGCGGGTGGCAAGCAGGTAGAGGGTAGAGGTAATGGGCGGCTGGTGGGCTCTAAGCTGTGCGTCAGTGCATGCGGCGCGCCAGGTCTCCTCTATCGAGCGCAGGTGGGCAGCGAGGTCAGAGACAGTGGGGAACGAAGCAAGGTCAGGAAAGAGCAGCGGGAGGATCAGGCGACCCACCGAGGCAGCCGGAGGGGTGGAATAGCGCTTGATGACAGCATCTAAGTATGCCTGAGCAATAGTGAGGGACCTAAAGCGAGGACGCTCGGACGGGGGGAGGGCGTTGCTAATGGCAAGCTGGGCGACAGCATCGCGAGAAAGCCAGACAGAGCGCGCACGGGCAGTGGCAGCAGTAGACTCACGCTCAGTGGGTGTGGGGTCAGCGGGCAGAATAGCAGGAGGGTCTGGGCAGGGGAGCGTACCGTCAAGGTGTGCGGAAAGCGGTTCACCATCCTGCCGCTGGCCAGTGAGTTGGCGGCGGAGGTCGGCAAGCCACGCCTCGAACTCTAGGGGCTGACCTTCAGCGTCGAAGCGAAGCTCCGCCGCCATCAGGAACAGTCCAGTGCTGTGCAGGGCGGTGCAGCTAGGTGAAGTGCGGTGCAGTGCGATACAGTGCGGTGCAGTGCGGTACTGTGCGGTACAGTGCGGTGCAGTGCGGTGCAGTGCGGTGCAGTGCGGTACAGTGCGGTGCAGGGCGGCACGGAGCAGGGCGGGGTGGGGGGGGGGGGGGGGGGGGGAACCGTACCAGTGAGGAGGACGGGGCCGGGGCTGGCCCGACGGGGCCGGGCGGGCGCGACGGGGCCGGGCTGATGCGACAGGGCCGGGACGGGGCGACGGGGCCGAGCGGGTGCGACGGGGCCGGGCTGGGGCGACGGGGCCGGGCGAGTGCGGCAGGGCCGGGCCGGTGCGACGGGGCCGGGCGAGCGGGACGGCGGCCGGGCTGGTGCGACGGGGCCGGGCGGCTGTGACGGGGCCGGGCAGGGTGCGACGGGGCCGGGCGGGTGCGACGGGGCCGGGCGGCTGCGACGGGGCCGGGCGAGCGCGACGGGCCGGGCAGGGTGCGACGGCGCCGGGCGGGCGCGACGGGGCCGGGCGGCGGCGACGGCGCCGGGCGGGCGCGACGGGGCCGGGCGGCGGCGACGGGGTCGGGCGGGCGCGACGGCGCCGGGCGGGCACGACGGGGCCGGGCGGCGGCGACGGGTACGACGCGGCCGAGGAGGGGCGCTACGGGGCCCAGGAGGGGCACGACGGGGGGCCCAGGAGAGGCGCTACGAAGCCCAGGAGGGGCGCGACGAGGCCCAGGAGGGGCGCTACGGGGCCTGGGAGGGGCGCGACGGGGCCTGGGAGGGGCGCGACGGGGCCCAGGAGGGGCGCTACAGGGCCCAAGGAGGGCGCGACGGGGCCCAGGAGGGGCGCTACGGGGCCCAGGAGGGGCGCGACGAGGCCCAGGAGGGGCGCTACGGAGCCCAGGAGGGGCGCGAAAGAGCCCAGGAGGGGCGCTACGAGGCCTGGGAGGAGCGCGACGGGGCCTGGGAGGGGCGCGACGGGGCCTGGGAGGGCGTTACAGGGCCCAGGAGGGGCGCTACGAAGCCCAGGAGGGGCGCGACGAGGCCCAGGAGGGGCGCTACGGGGCCCAGGAGGGGCGCGACGGGGCGCTACGGGGCCTGGGAGGAGCGCGACGGGGCCCAGGAGGGGCGCTAGAGGGACTGGGAGGGGCGTGACGGGGCCTGGGAGGGGCGCGACGGGGCCTGGGAGGGCGGTACAGGGCCCAGGAGGGGCGCTACGAAGCCCAGGAGGGGCGCGACGGGGCCCAGGAGGGGCGCTACGGGGCCCAGGAGGGGCGCGACGGGGCGCTACGGGACCTGGGAGGAGCGCGACGGGGCCCAGGAGGGGCGCTAGTGGGCGTGGGAGGAGCGCGACGGGGCCTGGGAGGGGCGCGACGGGGCCTGGCAGGGGCGCTACGAAGCCCAGGAGGGGCGCGACGGGGCCTGGCAGGGGCGCTACGAAGCCCAGGAGGGGCGCTACGGGGCCTGGGAGGAGCGCGATGGGGCCCAGGAGGGGCGCTAGGGGGCCTGGGAGGAGCGCGACGGGGCCTGGGAGGAGCGCGACGGGGCCCAGGAGGGGCGCTAGGGGGCATGAGCGGAAGCGGTAGGTGGGGGGGGGGGATCCTACCTACGCGTGATACCATATCAGAATAATTGAATAATGGTAAAGTGAGAGTACACACAAATATATCTAAGTTTTGTATCCTCTAAGAGGTGACTCTATACAGTCTATACAAACATGACAAATACACATGTTTGACATCGAGGCCCTTCGATACTTTTCCCGAACCTTCCGATCCTACGTCCAGGATCACCCTAGGCTTTCTATATATTGTATTGTCTTTCATTTTATTGTCATTCACTCGTTCACAGTTTCGCCATTGCCCTCCGCGCTACTCAGTCCCATTCATAACATGACTCAACATATAACGCTATAAATGTATTGCTACCGGTATGAAGAAATGTTAGCATCTCACTGCAAAGACCCGAAAGGAACTAGCATAAGCTTACAGCGTGTTGACATGCAATGCTAATTCATGCATAAGACCAAAAACAACCCTCAAGAAAGAATCTGAGTTGGTCAGACGGACTTATTCCCTCCCACACTTCCCAAACCAAATCCACTGCCCAAGTCAGCGCATGGTGCACGAGCAGAATTACACAAGATAATGTACACAGCAAGCAGGCGGCTACAGTGCCTACCAGCATGCCTACCCAGCCAGTATTATCTCGCAGGGTAAACCCCACCCCTCCCCAGATGAGATACGGCACTACCATAGATAGGTAAGCCCAGCAGCAGACTGGCAGGGTCCTCTCCTCCCCTGTGCCAATGTTCCTCAGCCAGCTTTGCCGTAAGGAAGGAACCCTCATGGCATGCCTCGCTGCGTGTTACCCAGCGTGAACTGAGGCTACTATTTTTTAGGCGCCTCGAAAACGTTCCTCAGACAGCTTGGCCATGGGAAGGGCTCCTCCTGTGATGCCTCGGCTCGCTGCGAGCGTTACCACTCAGAAAGGACAAGTGCATTGCACTCTGTTCAGCACCCTAAGATTCCTCTGACACTGCTACCCAGACCAAACCAGAGTCCCAACCAGAGTCCAGACAAAGAGTCTTCCTGAGATGCTTCAGCAGCAACCGATTCCCAGACAGCGTAGCCAAACGCTGAGCCCTCCCCCTGACAGTGCCTTTAGAGTCGGCTCCAAGGTCACCACAGCCGTACCCCGCCGGCTCAAAGGTCACCTCACACACCATAGCCGTAACCCGAGTCCTCCTGAGACGCCTCTGCCAGCGTATTCTCGGACGCCTCTGCCAGATAGTCCTTGCTGCAATGGGCCACATGCCATGCACAGCAGGGAAGGGCGGCACACACACACAGAGGAAAGGACTTTTGAGTAAACTTAGAAGCCAGTGTGTTCTCTGACGCCTCTGCCAGATAGTCTCTGCTGCAATGCATGGGATGAACACCCACATATGCCCAGGGAGGAGCAAAGAAAAGAGCTGAGTTTTGAGTCGAGGTGACTTTTGAGTCGACTCAAAAGTCACCTCTGCTGCAATGCATGGGATGAACACCCACATATGCCCGGGGAGGAGCAAGGAGAACAAGGGAGTATTTCTCAGACTGAAGTGCTTCAGGCAGGATCTTCTGGTGCTTCAGCAAGAGTGTGCTCTGACGCCTCTGCCAGCTATTCCTCGCTGCAGAGCGGCACACACATGGCAAGGAAGGGATCAGGGCAAAGAACTCAAGGCACTTGCCCCCTCTACCATTCAGTCTCATTACACCCTACCTATTGACATCCCCGTTCATCTCTCATACGCATTCATCTATCATTCCCACTCATCCCCCTTACCTCGCTGCAGCCACTTTGCCTGTGGTGTTGGGCTTGCCCTGGACCGCCACCACCAGGCACTTGGCCCTTCTACCCTTCAAATCTCACAGTTTCAGCCCAACCCAACCAATTTACATCCCCAATCAACCACCTCCCTTCCTGAATGCTTACCTTGCTGCTGCCACTTTGCGCGTGGCGTGAGGAGTCTATTTTTGAGGCGCCTCAAAAATAGCTTCCTGAATGTTTACCTTGCTGCAGCCACTTTGCGCGTGGCGTTGGGCTTCCCCTGGAACGCCACCACCAGGCACTTGCTCCAGCGCGGGCCGCCCGCATCCTCCACTGTCGCCGCCCGCACCGCCGCTAGAAGACGAACAAACAGTGCTCGGTCAGCAGTGGTACTGGAGATAGGGGAGGAAGAGAAGTGGGAGAAACAGAGTGGCAGGGGAAGGAGGGGTGGGGAAGTGGGAGGGGGAGTGGGGATGGGGAAGTGGGAGGGGGGAGGAATAGTGGGAGGGGGAGTGGGGAAGAGGGGAAGACAGTGGGAAAGAGAGAGAGCATTGCCTAGCTAGCAATAGTGAGGCTGACCATAAGGGGGATGAGGGGAGCAATAACAAGACTGATCATAAGGGAAATGAGAGCAACAACGAGACTGGCCGTACAGGGGACGGGAGCAGTAACGAGACTGACCGTAGAGGGGATGACAGCCAGCCAAGGATGTCCCAGAGTTTGACTGAAGTGAGCAGGCGGTGCCGCGACTGTGGCTTCCTCTTCTTCTCCACCAGAGTGAGCTGCGAGAAGCTTTCAGTCCTCTTAAGGCGAGGGTAGCCACTCACCATAGAGGGGACGAGAGCCAGCCGAGGATGTCTCTCAGCTTCACCGAGGTCAGCAAACGGCGCAGCGACTGCGGCTTCCTCTTCTTCTCCACCAGAGTGAGTTGCGAGAAGCTCTGCTGAAACGCCAGAGAGATGCCCATGCTGTCTAGCCACGCCTCCAAGTACTCCCCCTCCTCCTCCTCCTCATCCTCCCCCTCCACTTCGTCCTCCTCTCCGTCCTCCTCCCCTCCCTCTCCTCCTTCCCCACCCTTCTCAACATCCCCGTTCAAAGCAGCAGCAGCACCACCACCATTAGCACTGCCATTACCATACCCAGCAGGGGCACCCGCCATCTCCTCCTTCGCTCCCTCATCCTCTTCCTCCTCTTCCTCCTCCCTCCCCTCTGCCAAGGCCCCATCCCTCTCCAACTGGGCGGCTTGCTGCCGCCCAATCACGTGCGCCCACGTGGCGCACTCCTCCAGGGGCGGCGGCCACAGATCCTGCGGCAGCGGCTGGGGCGGCTTGGGCGGCCGCAGATTCTTGATCGAGATATTAGTTGAGCGCACGAGCGCCGGGCGGTCTGTCTTGGCGTTTTCCCGCATCGCCTTGCTGATAAAGCGAGAAGACGCGAGAATATCATGCACGCGCGTGCCACTCCCCACACCACCACCACCATTATAAAAGCTGGTGCTTCCATGCCCGTAACGACTGCTCAGCATACTGCCATCCGCAATATCCATCCTATCACTCTCCTGTGCTCCAATCCCAGCACCACCGCTACCCGCAGCAGTGGGAACGGCGCCCATGCCAGCGATCACGAGCCCGCCTGACGTGGTCCAGATAGCTGGCACGTCCCGGGCGTCAAAGGGGACGCGGGCCACAGGCCTCCTGCCCACGGCCGCTCCGAGAACTATCTGGTGAAGCGCTGCAAAGAGCTGCGACTTGTTCAGGTCCTTGATCCACGCTATGTCGCCAAACTCAGGCGCAGGCACGAGGGATTTAGAGGAGGAGGTGGGGGGAGCGGTAGCGGACGGGCCGTCGCCGTTTGCTCCAGGAGCGGCGGAGGAGGAGGAGGAGGAGGGGGAGGTGAGAGGGTAGCAGCAGGCTTCGTACGCGCGGCGCACTTTCATGAGGAGCCTGCGCTCCTCCTCCCGTCCTGGGAGCAGGATGATGGCAGCGATGTGCGGGCGGAACCAGTCGAGCACGTCGCTAGGTGACACCTCCACCGCTCCCTCCCTCACACTCCTCGGCTTGTTGCTGGCTGCTCCGCCCCCAATCCCCCCGCCGCCCTTCTCCCCGCCGCCCCATTCTTTTCCAATCTTCCCCGCCCCTCCCATACCTCCGTCCCCACCCTCTCTGTCGTCGTCCAGCGCCCAGAGGCTCTTGGCTGCGCCGTGTACTTTCCAGACGAGGAGGTGGTTGGTGGTTTCGTAGGAGAAGACTATGAGGGTGGGGATGCAGAAGGCCATGATGACGAGCGCGAAACCGATCTTAGGGAGCGTTTCGAGCTGCACAAAGTTGAACCCCATGGTCGCGATGATGAAGATCATCTCGGCAACGATGAGGATCGCTGCGAACGCGTCGTGGGTCGAGGCCACGAAGGGGGAGGCGGCGAGCTGAAGGCCGATCAGGATGACTTGCACGGGGAAGAGAATAGTCATCTGTGGGGGATGTGGGGGTGTGGGGGGGGGGTGGTTTGGGGGGGGAAGGGGAGAGGGAAGGGGGGTAGTAGAATTGGGAGAGATGGGTGAGGAGAGGAAGGGCCTGTGGTTGAAGCGACAAAGGGGGAGGCGGCGAGCTGGAGACCGATGAGGATGACTTGCACGGGGAAGAGAATTGTCATCTGGGGGGGGGATGCGGGGGGGGAGGGGAGAGGGAAGGAGGGCAGCAGAAATGGGTGAGGAAAGGAAGGGCCTGTGGTTGTCGCTACAAAGGGGGAGGCGGCGAGTTGGAGGCCGATCAGAATGACTTGCACGGGGAAGAGAATGGTCATCTGGAAAAGGGCGCGGGGAAGAAAGGAGGGGGTGGGGGTGGGGGGGAGTAGAAATGCGAGCGATGGGAGAGAGAAGAGAAGAATTGTGGTCGAGGCGGCGAGCTAAAGGCCGATCAGGATGACTTGCACGGGGAAGGGAATGGTCATCTGCGGGGGGAAGGGGGGAAAGGGGGGGCAGGAGTGAAGGGGGGGAAGGAGGGAGGGGGAGAGGGGGTATACTTTTTAGGTGCCTCAAAAAGAGGGGGAGAGGGGGTATACTTTTTAGGTGCCTCAAAAAGAGGGGGAGTGGGGGGAGAGATGGGAGAGATGGATGGGAGAGATGGATGGGAGAGAGGGATGGGAGAGAGGGGGGGGGTCGTGACAAAGGGGAGGCGGCGAGCTGAAGGTCGATCAGGATGACTTGCATAGGGAAGGGGGGGGGGAGATATGGGGGGGATGTGATAGAGATGAGACAAACTTGGACATGCAATAAATCAACGGCTTTTCTCAGGAATACTTTTAACAAACGAGCGGCTTTGGTGTCGTTCCCTCATCTGCATCTTGCTTGGTGATTCGCCAGATGGCCCTCTGGAGTTTTGATGCTGAGCCGATTTATAAGGCGGGCCTTGAAAAGAGTTTTGATGCTGAGCCGCCTCAACCCAAACCAAACGCCTTACCTGAACGGGGTGCGAATCAATGAGGAAGACCAGCAGTGCTGTGACCAGGAGCCGCCCTGCGAAGAGCATGAGGTTCCAGTAGAAGTAGCGGCACTCATAGCGCGTCACCATCCACACCCACCCCCAGCGAGCCCCCCCCTCCACCCCCCAGTGGACCTTCTGACGCACATCTAAGCAAGCACATACCTGAGCAGGCGGAGAGTCACTCAGGAAGACAAACAACGCCGCAACCAGGAGGCATCGCGCGAAGAGCATGAGGTGCCAGCAGAAGTAGTGGCACTCGTAGCGCGCCACCATCCACCCCCCCCTCCTGCGCCCTTGGCAGCACATACCATCCCCCAACCCACCTCCCCTCGTAGCTAACACACACCTGAACGGGGGGCGAGTCAATGAGGAAGACAAACAGCGCAGCAACGAGCAGTCTCCTGGCGAAGAGCATGAGGTGCCAGTAGAAGTAGCGGTACTCGTAGCGCGTCACCATCCACCCCCAGCGCGTGCGGAATGCCCGCGTGTCCAGCAGCTTGCGCTTCTTGCCGTACAGCATGGTCAGCGCGTAGTAGATGGGTGCCCCGGCCACAAAGATGACAGTAACGGTGATGCCGATCGCGAACAGCGTGATGCGCGCACTGCTGCTCCACAGGTCCGTTGGGGAAAAGGTCATCACTTGGACGTCGTACGTGCTGCTGGAGAAGGCCTGCAGGGGGAGCGGAAAGGGAGGAGCAGGAGGAGAGAGGAAAAGGAGGGGCAGAGGAAGGGGGCTTTGGAGATCCTGAGGGGCCAGTCAGTCGTCGCCAGTCTTTGTGGCATGGTAAGCGAGCGCGTAGTAGATGGGCGCTCCCGCCACAAAGATGACCGTGACGGTGATGCCGATCGCAAACAGGGTGATTCGCGCACTGCTGCTCCACAGGTCCGTGGACGAGAAGGTCATCACAAGGGTGATTCGTCATAGGTGCTGCTGAAAAGGCCTGTTTGGCGGGAGGGGAGCGGGAGGAACAGAGGGGCAGAGGGAGAGGAGGGGGGAGTGGAAGGAGGGATGGGGTGTTTTGCACGCTGCTGCTCCACCGGTCCGTGGAGGACAAGGTAATCACCTGGATGCCGGACATGCTGCTGGATAAGGCCTGATGATGACAAGGCGCAGGGCGCGCAGGGCGGCAGACGGGGGGACCTTACCTGGTGCTGCTATCACCTAGTGGAGGTCTCACCTGGAAGCAGCGCACAGTGACCGGCAGGTAGCACACGTCCAGCCAGTTGGCCGCACCGTGAATATAAATATCCTCCAGCGGGGCAGGCGGGTTAGCAGATGGCTTCTTTCCCCCCTTCTCCCCTCCCTTCTCCCCCCCTTGGGCGTGGGACTGGGACGGTAGGGGGAAGACGAGGCGCAGCGCGCGCTGGGCGGCGAAGAGGAGCGCGTAGGCGGCGAGGCCCACCGCGGCGACTATCATGGTGAGCGCCCAGCGGGACGTGAAGGGGAAGGTGAACTTGCAGTCGGGACCCAGGATGTCCTGAGGGGGGGGAGAAAAGAGGTGGGGGGAAGGGGGTTGAAGGGGGTAGAAGAGAAGGGAAAGGACGTGTTTTTCTTAGGGAAAAGCGGCTCGGTTTGCAGGTAGGGGGGGTTTTGGCTGGGAGTGTGGTGGTGGGTGGGCCAAGGAGCGCGAAGAGCAGCGCGTAAGCGGCGAGGCCCACTGCGGCGACGATTATGGTGAGCGCCCAGCGTGAGGTGAAGGGGAAGGTGAACTTGCAGTCGGCGGGACCCAGGATGTCCTGTTGTTGGGGGGGATGGGGCGCTGGGGGGCCCGCGGGGGGTGGGGGGGGGGGGGGAGGGGGAGAAGGGGGTGCATAGAGTGGAGGGGTTAAGCAGGTGGGGGAGCTCCAAGCCCCACAGCTGCAACTACTATCATGGTTTATTTTTTAGGCGCCTCAAAAATGGACTCCTCATCCAGGCCCCACAGCTGCAACTACTACCATGGTCAGCACCTAGCGGGCCGTGAAGGGGAAGGTGAACTTGCAGTCGGGACCCAGGATGTCCTAGGGGAGGGAAAGGGGAGAGGGGGGGGGGAAAAGTGAGCGAGCAACTTGATTTGCATCAACGAGGCGGTGGGGGGAAGGGGGGTGTTTGGGAAGGAGTGTGCAAGAGGAGGGAGTAGGCTGCTGGACCCAGTTCGCATATCACTGAAAGGAGGATGAGAAGGAGGGGCTTTAAGGTACGCACCACTGACAAGAGGTTGCGAAGAAGGGGCTTTAAGGCACGCACCACTGAAAAGAGGCTGCGAAGAAGGGGCTTTAAGGCACGCACCACTGAGAAGAGGCTGAGAGTGGAGAGCTACACCACCTTGCGCGCCCAGTCAGGGAACTGCAGGTCGACTGACCCCAGCACAGCCAGGATCTGTCTGCAGCGCACTGGAAAGCAAGCAGCGCTAGCACTACCAAGGAGAGAGGCTCAACGCACCACTGAGAAGAGGCTGAGAGTGGAGAGCTCGACGACCTTCCTCGCCCAGTCGGGGAACTGGAGATCCACAGAGCCCAGCACGGCCAGGATCTGCAGCTCACTGTTCATCATCGACACCGAGTGGAAGCGGTCAGAAAAGACGGCCGTCGCCACCCACAGCAGGATGACGAGCACGAAGAAGAACCAGAAGAGCTGGGTAAAGGGGGGGGGGGGGGGGGGGGGGAGGGAGGGGAGAGGGAGCGGGGAGGAGGAGAGGGGAGGAGGGGGGGGGAGAGGAAAAGGGTTCAGACTATCTGGTCACTGGTAGCACGGGCCACTAGCAGGACCGTAGCCAGGGAGCAGGTGGAGCAGGTGCAGTTTTGAGGCGCCTCAAAACAGGTGGAGCAGGTGGAGCAGGTTTAGTTTTGAGGCGTCTCAAAACAGGTGGAGCAGGTGGAGCAGTAGGAGCATTAGGAGCAGTAGGAGCAGAGCAACATAGACCTGCCTGGAATAAGCAGCAGCATTGACTCACAGCGTCAGAGAACTAGGGGCAGCATTGACTCATGGCAATCTCTCGTATTTACTCACAGTGTGTCTTTTAGCATTCTAGAAAACGGGGTGTTTCTTAAAATTCTCGAGTGCAGGGGGCAGCATTGACTCATGGTGATCTCTCGTATTTACTCACAGCAAGCAGCCGCATCGACTCACAGTGTTACAAAGCAAGATGCACTCCGACTCAGAGTGTCACAAAGCAAGATACACTCTTTGACTCACCGTTTCCATCCACGAGGTGCACTGGTAGCACGTGCTGATAACAGAGTAGTATCCGGGGGAGCACGTGGAGCAGAGGCGGTTCTGGTCATAGCCCTCTGCACACTGTGAGTCGTTGGGCGATGAGTAGTTGTACCCCGCACAGCCGTCTGTGGGAGGGGGGGGGGGGGGGGGGAAACACACACACACAGCTTTTGAGTCGACTCAAAAGCACTGCGAGTCGTTGGGCGATGTGTAATTGTAGCCCGCACACCCGCCTGCAGGAAGGGGGGGGGGAGAAGGCAGAGAGGGAAGGGATAAGGGACATTGGGCCCAGTGCAGCAGCACGTGGAGCAGAGGCGGTTCTGGTTGTAGCTGTCAGCACACTGCGAGTCGTTGGGCGATGGGCACGTGTCGTCTGCACAGCTGTCTGTAAGAGGAGGAGGAGGGAAAGGGAAGTGGAGAGCAGAGAGCAAGAGGGGCAGACGAGGGAGCGAGAGGGGCATATCAACTGGTTGCAGCCCTCGGCGAGCTGGAGTCATCGGTGTCGGTGTGGGTGTGGGTGCGAGTGTGGGTGCCGGTGCAGGTGCGGGTGCGTGTGCGGGTGCGGGTGAGTGTGCGGGTGCGGGTGCGGGTGCGGGGGTGTGGGTGTGGGAGTGGGAGTGGGTGTGGGTGTGGGTGTGGGTGTGGGAGTGGGTGTGGATGTGGGAGTGGGTGTGGGTGTGGGTGTGGGTGTGGGTGTGGGTGTGGGTGTGGGGTGGGTGTGGGTGTGGGTGTGGGTGTGGGTGTGGGTGTGGGTGTGGGTGTGGGTGTGGGTGTGGGTGTGGGTGTGGGTGTGGGAGTGGGTGTGGGTGTGGGTGTGGGTGTGGGTGTGGGTGTGGGAGTGGGTGTGGGAGTGGGTGTGGGGTGGGTGTGGGTGTGGGTGTGGGAGTGGGAGTGGGAGTGGGTGTGGGAGTGGGTGTGGGTGTGGGAGTGGGTGGAATGGACGGCACAGAAAGAGGGGGCATGTGCTGAAAGAGGTGAAACATACTCGACACGTCGCAGTAGTACACCGCAGGGCTGTCAGTGTAAACGCTCTCTGGGTTCAGCCAGAAGTCCCCGGCAATCGTGCACGTCCCGTTGGAGCAGCCCATGGCATTGTCCCCCAGAATGGTCACCGTATCGGCGCACGTCACGCACTCACTTGCCGCCGGCAGGAAGCTAAACGTCCCATCCTCACACACCACAGACCCCTGCCCCGCGGGGCACATATACCCCACTTCACACGGCAGGCACGCCAGAGAGTCCAGACTGAAATAGTTCCCAGGGTCACAGAAAGCGAATTCTAACTCCTGGGTGATCGGGGGGTATGCGTCGGTGGGGCTGCTGACGGTGATCGGGAGCGTGAAGTTGGTCGCGCTTTCGGGCGGCATGACGAGCGAGACGGGCGGCAGCACCGCCTGGCCTTCCAGGGCGGTGGCGCGGAGGAGGCCAGAGATGCGGGGGTCGGGCTGGATGGCGATGATTGAGGAGAAGTCGTCGATGGCGATGTTGCCATAAGCATCGAGGATGGTGACGCTGATGTTCACTATGGGGGTCTGAGTATCCCCCATCACGGTGAACGGGGTGGTGTTGTCAGTACTGCCCCCTTCGAGTGCGTTGTTCTGCCACCTGTTGGGGTCAGGGGAAGGGCGGAGGGGGGGAGGAAAGGAGGGTAGAGAGAGAGGGGGGAGAAAGTGTGAGAGAGTGGCTGGGGTCGGGCTGGATGGCGATGATTGAGGAGAAGTCGTCGGTGGCTATATTTCCGTACTCAATTTTTGAGGTGCCTCAAGAAGGGGGAGGGGGAAGAGGAGCACAGAGTGAGACAGTGGAAGGGAGGAGCCCGGCGATGCGGGGGTAAGGTTAGATGGTGATGATGGAGGAGAGGAGAAGTCGTCTGTGTTTCTGATGCTGGGCCGGACACACACACACACACACACACACACACACACACACACACACACACACATGTGCACACGCAAAATGCACAGCAGCAACACTCACAGGAGTGAGAAGGAGGTGGGCTGGGCAGGGTGCCAATCGTATCCCTCGTTGTGCTGTCAGCGCCAGAGCACGTGATTCTGACGCCACGCCCGGCCAGAAAGACGTGTCAAAGAACTCCACGCCCTGGCTGAGCACCGCGGCGTTGCCCTCAAACACCACACGTGCTGATATGGAGCCAGCAACCACTGAGACACGTGCAGAGAGTCATACTCATACGCATACCCCAACCCAAGTCAAGGGCAGACAACGCGAGAACTTACAGGAGAGAGAAGGACGTAGGGGGGGTGCCGATGGTGTCGTTCTTTGTGCTGTCAGCGCCAGAGCACGTGATTCTGACGCCCGGCCAGAAAGACGTGTCAAAGAACGCCACGCCCTGGCTGGGCACCGCGGCGTTGCCCTCAAACACCACATTATCACACGTCAGGTTGCTGCTCAATGCCACCATGGCGGGAGGGAGAGTCGGAGAGGGCGTATCCTGGCTTCCACTGCCGCTGCCGCTGCCGTCGCTGTTGCTGTTGCTAGTGCTGTTCGCGTCGCTGACACTCGTCTCTCCGAGGGGGTTCTTCCTCAGCAGCTCCCGATCCACATACACAGCCGCCCCTCCCTTCTTCGCATCATTCCCCACAAACGAGCAGTTGAGGATGCTCCCCTGGGAGTTGCCCTCGTAGAACAGCCCCCCTCCCCCAAAGGACGCCGCGTTAGCAGTGAAGTTAGAGAGCAGGACGGAGAGGGAGGAGTTGCCCGTGGCGAGCGCCCCCGCGCCCTTGCTCGCCACGTTCGAGATGAAATCGCAGCTGTTGATTGAGACGGAGGCCAGGGAGTCGGAGAAGATCGCGCCGCCCTTGCTGGCGGTGTTCCCAGTAAGAGTGGAGCTGTTTATAACAAGGATGGCAGAATCGGTGGCGCGGAGCGCGCCACCGTCGCCCAGGGGGCTCGCCACTCCAATTGTGGTCACTGTGCGGTTACCACCTTGGCTGGTGGTTACATTCCCGGCTCCAGCAGCAGCTGGAGTAGCAGCGAGAAGCCTAGCAGTGGGGCCTCTAGTCGCCAGGCTTGCTGCTTCGATGGAAGAGGTGACCGCAGCGGCAAAGGCAGCAGCCATGTGGATAGAAGGCGAGGGATAGGCGAAATCAGAGAAGCCTGTAGCAGTGGCAGTGGCTGTGGCTGTAGGGGAATCGGCAACTGCAGCAGCAGAGGCAGAGGAAGTGGAGGACGAGGAGGAGGAGGAGGAGAGAGAAGGGCCGCTAGCAGCAGTGTTGTTGTTGAAGCTGCCGCCAAGAATAGTAGCTTCGGCCTGGCCCCTCACCACCACCGCATGGGCGGCATTGCTGGAAAACGTCGAGTTCAAACAGGACAAAACCGCCCGCCCCTCGATCAGCGCCGCGCCACCCAGATCCGCGCTGTTGCCGACCAGATTCGACCCAGTGAGATCAACACGGGCCGAATGGACGGCGTAGATCACTCCGCCATAAAACCGGGCCGAATTGTTCCGGAAATTGGTCCCAGTCGCATTCACCTGAGCGTCCATCTCTGCCCATACGAACCCCCCACCCCCTTCTGCGCTGTTCCCCTCTACAATCACCCCCGTTACAGTCAGCCTCGCGGACCCACTCGCTCGAACCCCCCCTCCCTCGCTCCCACCCGCATTCCCCTTCACCTCCCCCTTTACAATCACACCCGAGGTGGCATCAATAAGGGCCAAGCACCCTCCCCCGGATACAGCCTTGTTGCCATCGCACACGCTGCGAGTCAGCGCCAGCACGCTGTACTCCTCCAGGGCAATCCCGCCGCCCGTGGTCGCGTCGTTCTGCGCCAGCTCGCAGTCGGTGATTCGCGCATCGCCCGTCATCGCGGCGTAGAGCGCGCCGCCTGACAGGTCGGCGTGATTGAGGGAGAAGGAGGAAGAGGTGATGGTAGCAACGGTGGAGAGAGGGGGAGCGGAGGGAGCGGAGGGCGAGGAGGGCGAGGAGGGGGAGGAGAGGATGGAGCCTACAACGGCGACTGCCCCGCCCTTAGCAGCGGAGTTGCTTCGGAAGGAGGTGGAAAAGAGCGAGAGGGCCGTGCCACTGTGGAAGATGGCTCCCCCTCGCGCTGCCATGGCCTTGTTCTGGGAGAAGCGGCTGTTGGTGATAGCCACGTCCGTGGCTTCTCCCTGTGGGCGAATAGGGAACACAGAGGAGGTGAACACAGGGGAGGTAAACACAGGGGAGGTGAACACAGGGGAGGGTTACACAGAGGAGGTGAACGAAATGTGGGTGGGGAATATCATTAGCAGGAAATTTGGTTTTTGAGAACTCTAAAAAACCAACTCACCTCACAGGGGATGTGCACAAGATGTCGGTGGGGCAGGGAATGTCAGTAGCAGGTAAGTCACAAACGTCCACCCTGCTAAACCTGTTGACCTTATGGACCTGTTTGACCTGTTTGACCTTATTGAACTTGTTGACCACGTCCTCAGGAAAATCTCTCTCAACGGGCTCACCTCCGTTATAAGAACACCTCCGCCCTCCCCGGTAGTAGCCTCGTTGGCGATAAAGTCACAGTCGTCCACAGCCACTGTTTTTTTTGTGTTGACCGCCATGCCGCCGCCCCCCATGGCGCCCACGTTGCCCTCCACCCTGCTCTTCACCATGCTGCCGCCATTCAGCCAGTAGACTGTGAGGGGGTTACATGGGAGAAGGACGGAGGAACAATGGGAGGGAGAGACAGGACGGCGTGAGCGTGAAATGTGCAGGCAAGACATGCCGGCCCCCACCCCATGTCGCCCACGTTGCCCTCCACCCTGCTCTCCGCCATGCTGCCGCCGTTCAGCCAATAGACTGGGAGATGCAGAGAAGGTGGAAGGGTGGGGAGGGGAGGAGTGGAGGGAGGGAGGGGGTTGGTGGTGGGGAGGCGAGAGAATATGAACACACGCGCATAAAATGTTGAGGCAGTTTTTTCTATATCACTTAACACAGTTTACAGGTTCCAGGCTCAACTTCCCCTCCTGACGCATCAGCGTAGCTGCTGACGAAGGTGGCGTTCGTGATGGTGACAGTCCCTCCCTCCTCCCAACAGCCGACTGTTTTGCCACTGACCCCAGGATCGAGTTTCGAGGCGCCTTCCAAAGACCGCACACTCACTCACTCACTCACCTCCTCCTCCTGAAGCGACGGCGTAGTTGTTGGCGAAGGTGACGTTGGTGACGGTGACTGCAGGTGAGGTGATGTAGAGACCCCCGCCCATGTACGCCTGGGGAAGGGGAAGTGGAGGGGAGGGGAGGGGGAGAGGGAGAGAGGGAGAGAGAGCATATCCTTAGGCGCCTCAACAGTGAGTTGTTGGCGAAGGTGGCGTTGGTGACGGTGACTGCAGGTGAGGCGATGTGGAGACCCCCGCCCATGTACACCTGGGGAAGGGGAAGTGGAGGGGAGGGGAGGGGGAGGGGGAGAGGGGGAGAGGGAGAGAGGGAGAGAGAGCATATCCTTAGGCGCCTCAACAGTGAGTTGTTGGCGAAGGTGGCGTTGGTGACGGTGACTGCAGGTGAGGCGATGTAGAGACCCCCGCCCATGTACGCCTGGGGAAAGGGGAAGTGGAGGGACGGGGAGAGGGAGAGTGAATCCGTAGCGCCTCAACAGTGAGTTGTTGGCGAAGGTGGCGTTGGTGGTGGTGACTGCAGTGGATGGGTGAGATGTCGAGAGTACGACAAGTCCAAGCCCACATCCACCTTCGAGATTACCTCACCACAAGGTAAGATACCCCATCATCACCCCATCATCCACTCTGCTCTACTCATCACCACACCACCTGTCACATTAGTACCATTGACATCTAATCTACCCAGTAACCCAGTTGTCACCTGCAGTAGAATTCGACCTGATGCTCCCTCCCTGAGTTTTAATCCCCAACCTGAGGCTACTGGCTACTGGCTGCTGGCTGCTGGCTGCTGGCTGCTGGCTGCTGGCTGCTGGCACGACGACCACCAGTGCCACAAGCTGCTCACCCAGTTGTTGCTGATGGTAGAGTCGGAGAAGTAAAAAAGCACTTCCGCCTTGTTGTAGATGTTTGTGCTGATACCCCCGACACCCCCCCCCCCCCCCCCCCCCCCGAGCTTTAAGCCCTTTCGAAGGTGCTGACACTACCACCACTACCACTGCTACCACTGCTACCACTGCTACCACCACTACCACTGCTACCACCATGAACACAAGCCGCTCACCCAGTTGTTGCTGACAGTTGAGTCGGAGAAGTCAAAAACCACCTCCTCCTTGTTCACAAAGTTCGTGCTGATGCCGCCGCCTTGGGCTAAAAGCCCCTCAGTCATCAGCCCGTTGTTCCCCGAGATATTGCAACCGCGCACCACCGCATTAACGTCTGACAAATACACTCCAACCCCCAGGTTAGACTCCGCATACCCCGTATTATCCACTATTTGGCTATCGATTAACTCCACGCTCCCAGTGGTGGTTCCCATACTCCAGCCGTCAACCGCAACCCCCGTCCCACTGTCCATGTAGTTAGTGCAGCGGGTGATTGTGGACCGTTGGATCGAGATCTTGGTCGTGCCCATGGCGTAAATCCCTCCCCCCCCGTACACCGAAGTGGTCGAGTCAATCGTCGAGTCAAGAATCACTGTAGACGTCGTCCCGTTAAGGAACATCCCCCCGCCATAGGACGGGTCCGCGTCATAAGGAGGATAGTCGCGGGAAGACGCGGCGAAGCACCCGAAGAAAGTGGACGCCTGGATAGAGAGCGAGAGAGAGGCGGTGTCGGACAAACACCCCGCGGAGCTGGCGTTGGTGCTGGTGATTTGGACGGATTTGAGTGTGAGGGTGGAGGTGGAGGAGGCGAGCCCGCCGCCCAGGAAGCGGGAGGAGCACTGGGCGATGACAGAGGAAGAGAGGGTGAGAGTGGAGGAGTAGATGGCGATGCCGCCTCCCACGCTCTCGTCCGCGTGGCACGACTCGACGTCGAGAGCCGAGAGGGAGCCCTTGGAGGCTGGTGAAAGGGGGGGGAGGGAGAGGGTGAGTGGAGATATGTATGGTTATGTGTAAACAAATATTATGCAAGGTACACGTCAAAAAGCAGGGATACTAGCACATGAGGTGAGTGTGAGGGAGTGGGGTAAGTGAGAGGGAGTGAGAGGAAGGGAGGCTGACTGATTGGGAGGGGATAGGGAACTTACAGAAGATTGCAATGCCGCCGCCACCACCGTCGATGCCCCCCTGGGTGACTTTCGAGTCGAACACAGTCACATTCGTCATAGTCACATCCTTGGAGGACGAGACGGAGACCGCGCCCCCGTTGGTGTACGCGATGCAGCTGGAGAAGTCAACGCTCGTTATAGTCACCTTCTGGTTCGCTGCTTCCAAGCAGCCCCCTCCTCCGACCTTGTTCAACCCGCTCATCACAACGACCCCCTGGATGGTCACACTCGCCTGCGCGCACGGCACAGCAGGAGCGGCAGCAGAAGCGCCCCCGTTAGAGGCACAAACGGCGCTCAAGCAGGGCCCGTTCTTGCAATCAATGAGAGGCTTAGATGTGATTGAAGCGGGGGGGGTGGGGGAGGGCGAGGAGAGCGAGCCTGCTGCTATAGTGAGGGAGTAGCCGCCGAGGGCGAGGGGGGACGAGAGCGTTGAGAAGGACACGGGTATGGTGCCGTTGACCAGCAGAATGGTCGCCCCCTTGAGGTCAGCGCTGAGGATGGCCGGGGTGGTGGGGTGGGGTGGAGGGGGGGGGGGAAGAGGAGAGGTGAGTAAGAACGGGAAGGGTAGGGCAGGAGATTGGAATGAGGAGGGACGAGAGCGGCGAGAAGGAGGTGGGTGTGGTGCCGTTGACTAGCAGTATGGTCGCTCCTTTGAGGTAAGCGCTGGTATGTGTGGGGGAGGAAGGTGGGGGGGAGGAGGGTGGGACTCGGGAGGAAGGTGGAGAGGGGAGGGGAGGGCGGGGGGAGAAGAGAGGAGCAACCCTTTGGGATGAAAAGAGGAGCGGAGAGGAGAGATATAGGATCTGGAAAAGGTGCAAGAATGGTGGTTACTTGAGGCGCCTCAAAGAGAGGAGCGGAGAGGAGCAACCCTTTGGGCTGAAAAGAGTCACAGGATTTGGAAAAGGTGCAAAAATGGTGGTTGCTGGCGGGGCAACGACACAAATCAGATCATTAAGAGAGAACAAGACTCACTTCGTGAGGGCGAGGTCGAGGGAGCCTGCGATACAAGAACGGTGACGCACGGCGGAAGTTGGGCAAAGGGAAAAGAAGGAAAGAGGGGGGCGCAGGTGGGGTGAAGGCGGGGGGAGGGGGGGAGGGGGGGAAGAGGGGGGGGAGGTGGGAGAGCAGGGAGATGGTTAGAAAGCAGGAAGGGTATGGGTTCTGGTGACTGATGTGTGAAGGATGATAAGAGCACACAAACAGCACGCCGTGATTAGACACCCGTGTCGACGTTACAGACACGACTGATGCCATCACTTGCTCATCTCCGCAAGGGACTGCCCACACAATCTCAACCCACCGCATGGCCTCTGCGCGGACGGACTACCCCGTAATTTCCCCCTGAATCCTCCCCCCCCCCCCCCCCCCCCAAATACCTTCCCCACCAAACCATCCTCCCACGCCTTCTCCCATATCTTCCCCCTAACCCACCGCATGGCCTCTGCGAGGTGCCGCAGCAGCCGGTTGCGGAGCCGGTCGCCGTCACGTACACCACCGCTTGCCGGTTGCACACTGCTAGGAGGAACGGGGACAAACGGGGAGAAACGGGGAGAAACGGGGAGCGGAAGGCGGATGGATAGACGAAGGTAGGCCCGATGGGTGGGACGAATGGCGGAAGGCAGGCGCAATGGCGGTAAGAAATGACGACGGAAGGACTCGGCTGAATGCGAAGAACGAAGGGAGAAAGGAAACAATAGATGGTGCGTGGAGCAGGTCTGGAGGAGAAAAAGAAAGGAGGAGGGGAAACGCGGATTGGAAAGGAAGACGGCGAGCGCTTCATTGTAGCCGCTTCGGAATGTGACGGTTGAAACCGGTATAGAAACACGAACCTGATTGTGTCCGCGTTAAGGGTGGACTGAGTAACAGCACGAACGTCGCGATGGCGAAACGGAGCAATTGACTCCTCGCGAATGTCGCCATGTCTAGTCTCTGGGCCCTACACGTCTCGCTAAGATGCCGACCTTCTATACTGTTAACGGGTCGTCCTATTCCGAGGCTGCTATCGCCTTGTGGCATTCTATTGTCGCCGAGCCTCGATGCCGAGGCTCCTTCACGCATTGCTCTCAGCTCTCACTCCCCTTACGCTGGAAAAATCGACGTTTCTGGAGCTACACCCTTTTGAGACGCCGAGATAATAAATAGGAGACTGAAGTGTTGCCTGATTATTAGCGCGAAAGGCGCGGGAGAGTTAAGGACGTGACAGGGCTCGCGTGCGACGATGCTACGTCGCCGTTTCGCAAAGACTAGGTTTACGCATCGTGGCTAACCCCTGGACGAGCTGCCACGTCGGATCTACGGCCCAGGGCTGAGCGTTGCCAGTCGAGGTCAGTACGAACCCTAGGCTGGATATACTGTCCCTAGGCACGGTAACCGTTGATTCGTCCGTACTCCAACCTCGTTTCCTCGGTAGTTTTCTTGAAGTAGGTTAGTGCGGGAGTAAGTTGCGAGACCAAAACGCGGAACTAAGACGCGAAAGCGGTCTCGTAACTCCTTTCGCGACGGTCTAGAATCCCTTCCTCGCTGGACTACAGGTGAGAGGGTAGCAACGCTGCTGCGGACGGCTCTTGGTTGGTGGTCTACAACTGGCAATGGCGACAAATGGCGTACTCTCAGCAGCAGAGTTTTCTGACAGTTCCCACCACTCGTGAAGCACGGCAGCACATGAAACAGAGCCAATCACACACACCCTACACGATCCTGACAATTGGAGAGCTGGAGTTCCCTAGGAGTTGCACGGGAAGAGCGGGAGAATCCCTAAGGTAACAAGTACGGTACAATACGTTACAATACGTTACAGTACAATACAAAGATGTGCCGTACAGGACGAAAGCACGTAGACAAGGAACGAGCAGGAGATAGAAGCAAGCAGGGGAGAATCGAGACTCGAGATGTACTCGCACTGGTCTGGTCTCCTTTCTGCTGCCCGAATGAACTTGAGTGCACGTATTCGCGAACCAAAAAGTTTTTTACACCGTGGGACCAGGCAGCAAGAACGCAGGGTTCCTGCCCTGACCAACACGGGCAAAGGAACGTGTCGTTCCTTTCGAGCAGAGAATGTCAGAATGGAACCGAAGGGCAGCGAAGGTGCGAATCGACATGAGTCGACCAATTCACTCCTCCCCACTCACACCACCGGACCACCACCACTCCGTCCCACTGAGCCGATGGGCAGATGGGCAGATGCCGACAAACTTTGCTGTTTTTGTCGTGCGCCTGAAACCGCGTTTACTATATGACGAGCTCGCACTGTATGCTCCCACCAACTAACAAGACCACCTGAAAATATAGATCCTTGGTAAACAGCTCCTTGGTACACAATATAAGAAAGCTCTATATCTTCCTCCTCGCACTAAACCGCATCCACATAACTATCATGCACTCTAATCTAACCGTACATTGTCCCACAACCTTGTACACCTCTCTCCTGCAACACTGTTTCAATTTTAAGATGTGACAAACACACATCAAATATTTTTCTAATCACCTCACGCCTACCAGCACATGGTAGCTTCCATATAATATAATTATCATAAACATATATGCCACACGCCGTCGGCCGTCTCTCCCTACAACAAAATGACCATATCTCTTGTACCCATGCTCCACGAGTTACCATTCACATCGCAACTACTCTTGCACTATCCGCAATATAGTCCACCGTGTATCTGTGTGTGTCTCCCTCTTCCCCCACCCCAGCTCCATACGTCTGCCACAGAGCAACATCCTCTCCATGCCAGCCCAGCAACCAGACTCCTTAGCCTCCCATCCAAGCACGGTAGGAGCAAACAAACCCCGCTCATCAGCTACTCCACCTTATGTGCCCTTCCCTCCTTCCCACCCTGCCCATTCCCCGTCATTCTGCCACAGGGTAGCATACCTCTTCCCCAACCCAACAGCACCACTCTCCTAAGCGCCAACATTTTACAATCCCATGTGCGACGTGTAGAGCACTATCGGTAAGCTGATATACTCCTCTCTCCCCACCCAACTGCCCCATCAGTCTGCCACAGCACACCATACCTCACCACGACCCAGCAGCACCGCTCCCCTGAGCGGCCCCATCCGGAGGCCCGTAGGAGGAGACAAAGAGAGGGGACTGCTTGAGGGAGAGCGCGAGCAGCTCATCTACTTGTGAGCCAATCTATCGTCCCCCCCTCCCACCATCGCCCCATCAGTCTGCCACAGCACGGCATACCGCTCCCCCGACCCAGCAGCACCACTCCCCTGAGCGCCCCCGTCCGGAGGCCCGTAGGAGGAGACAAAGAGAGGGGGCTGCCTGAGGGAGAGCGCGAGCAGCTCAAAGGCGCTGCGGCTGACGTCGGTCGTGAGGGTGGAGCGGGGAGGCGTGGAGGGCACAGCACGGGCGATGTATGCGTAGAATACCTGGGATCACACGAGAAGGAGAGGGGGAGACAGAGAGACGGGGCTGCTTGAGGGAGAGAGTGGAGAGGCATGAAGCGTGCAGCACGGGCGATGTATGCGTAGTACACCTGGGTGGAAAGAGGGCAGGAGGGGGAGTAGGAGGAGAGAGGAGAGGGGGCCACTTGACGGGGGAGCGGGGAGGTGTGGAGGGCGCAGATAGAGCGGGCCGCAGATCAAAGGCGCTGCGGTGGACGTCGGTCGCGACCGGTGGACGACCCTTCAAGCTGCCCGCCCCCTCAAGCTCGCCACCAGTTGGACAGCTGAACAGTTGAACAGTTAAAAATCATTGGACAGCTGAACAGTTGAACTGTTGCGTAGTTCAACTATTGTACAGTAGAAATGTTGGACAACTAAACAGTTGAACTGTTGAACCCTTGGACTGTTGTGTGGTTACATAGTTGAACAGCTGAGCTGTCCAACAGTTGAACTGTTGAATGGTTGAGCCGTTGAAAAGTTGAACAGTTAAAAACTAGAACAGTAAAATACTTAAACATTTAAACAGTTCAACACAAGAACAGTTGAATAGTTAAACAGTTAGAATAGTTTAACAATTGAACACTAGAACAGTTGAACACTGGAACAGTTAAATAGTTGAACAGTTGAATAGTTGAACAGTTGAGCAGTTGAATAGTTGAGCAGTTGAATAGTTGAGCAGTTGAACACTAGAAGAGCTCAGTAGTTCAACAGTTGAACATTGGAACACTTGAATAGTTAAACATTTGAACAGTTCAACAGAAGAACAGTTGAATAGTTGAATAGTCGAACATTAGAACAGTTCAACAGTTGAACACTAGAACAGTTGAATAGTTGAACAGTTGAACACTAGAAGAGTTTAATAGTTGAAAAGTTCAACAGTTAAACATTGATGCACTTAAATAGTTCAACATTTGAACAGTTCAACACAAGAACAGTTGAAAAGTTCAATAGTCGAACACTAGAACAGTTGAACAGTTGAATAGTTGAACACTAGAACAGTTGAACAGTTGAACACTAGAACAGTTGAACACTGGAACAGTTGAACAGTTGAACACTAGAACAGTTGAATAGTTGAATAGTTGAGAACTATAACAGTTTAACAGTTGAATAGTTGAACAGTTGAACACTAGAACAGTTAAATAGTTGAATAGTTGAGCACTAGAACAGTTGAACAGTTGAATAGTTGAACAGTTGAACAGTTGAACAGTGGAACACTAGAATAGTTGAAATTTTGAACACTCGAACAAGAGAACAGTTATATAGTTGAACAGTAGGACAATAGAACAGTTGAATAGCTGAACAATTAAATAGTTGAACAGTTGAACACTAGAACAGTCAAGTAGTTAAATAGTAGAACACTGGAGCAGTTGAACAGTTAAATAGTTGAACATTAGAACATTGGAGCAGTTGAATACTTTAACAGTAGAACCCTGCACCAAGAGCACCCAGCAGCTAGAGCACCCAGCAGCAAGAGCACCCAGCAGCAAGAGTAACCAGCAGCAAGAGCACCCAGCAGCAAGAGCACCCAGCAGTAAGGGCACCCAGCAGCAAGGGCACCCAGCAGCAAGGGCACCCAGCAGCAAGAGCACCCAGCAGCAAGAGCACCCAGCAGCAAGAGCACCCAGCAGCAAGGGCACCCAGCAGCAAGGGCACCCAGGAGCAAGAGCACCCAGCAGCAAAAGCACCCAGCAGCAAGAGGACCCAGCAGCAAGAGGAGCACCCAGCAGCAAGAGTACCCAGCAGCAAGAGTACCCAGCAGCAAGATCACCCCACAGCAAGATCACCCCACAGCAATATGCCACCCAGTGCGCCTTGAGGAAGGTGGAAGCCAGGGGAGGCAGCAGCGCAGCCAGGTCATCTCCCTTCTCAACCGTGTCCCCTTCTCCCCCCTTCATTACCTGCTTTTGTGAAGCCATCCGGTATGCCTTCAGGTAGGTGGGGACCAGGGGGGGCAGCATTTGTCACCGGGTAACTCCCCTCACCCCTCCCCTCCCTGCCCCTCCCCTCTCACCTGCTGCTTTGACGACACCCAGTACGCCAGAGGAAGGTGGGAGCCAGGGGAGGCTGCACTTGAGGCATTCAACTGTTACATTGCATCCCCTCACACCTTACCTGCTTTTGCGACGACACCCAGTAAGCTTTGAGGTAGGTGGGGACCAGGGTAGGCAGCAGCGAGCCCAGCGCCTGCTGCAGCTGCGCCTCGGTCTTGGCCAGCCCGTATACCACTTCCCACCTCACCGCTCACCCCATCTAAGTGGTGCTCTCCCACACTACTTGCTTTTGCGAGGCCACCCAGTACGCCTTGAGGTAGGTGGGGACCAGGGGAGGCAGCAGCGACCCCAGCGCCTGCTGCCGCTGCGCCTCTGTCTTGGCCACTACCACTAGGCACCTCACTTCCCACCTCCCATTCCCGCATCTCCCTCATTCTGACTGGCTGCTGCGACGACACCCAGTACAGCTTGAGGAAGGTGGGAGCCAGGGGAGGCAGCACTTGTGGCATTCACCTGTTACGTTGCATCCCCTCATCTCACCCCTTACCTGCTTTTGCGAAGACACCCAGTACGCTTTGAGGTAGGTGGGGACCAGGGGAGGCAGAAGCGACCCCAGCGCCTGCTGCAGCTGCGCCTCGGTCTTGGCCAGCCCACCCTGCCACCCGCCCCTCGTGGGGGCGTCGTTCCACACATCCGCCACGTAGACTATCCCTCTTACTGGGTCCTCAGTCAGGGAAACACTCAGCGGACTGAAGCCCTGCAGTGGGAGAGAGGGATGGGGAGGAGGCACAGAAGCATCATTCCGCCTGTGTCTTGGCCACCCTGCCCTGCCACCCGCCCCTCGTGGCGGGGGGCGTCGTTCCACACATCCGCCACGTAGACTTTGTGCGTGGTGGAGTCTTCAGTGAGAAAAACGCTCAGAGGGCTGAGGCCTTGCAGGCATGGGAGGGGACATAGGAGAAGGTGTTGGGGCACAGGGGGCAATGCCTGCAGCATCATGGGATGGGCACCAGCGAGCCCAGAGGGCAATGCCTGCACCAGCTAAGCCTCCGTCTTGGCCAGTCCCCTCATTACCTGCCCCTGCCATGTGCATGCTCCCCTCTCCCCCCCCCCCCCCGCCCTCCCCATTCCCCCCAACCCCCCATACCCATGTTCCATCCCCTTCCCCCCCCCCCCCCCAACCCCCCACACCTGTCCGATGGAACACCAGTTAGGTGCCATGCCGTCAATACGTGACAGCAACTATGTAGCGACCCCCCACACCTGTCGCTGCAGCTGCAGCCATCGAGAGGCCGGCCTGCAGCAGTAGCTGTTGTTGTGTGGGACGCCTAACACCGCCTCCACCCGTGTGCTACTGCCAGCATGCGCATCTCACACCTCCCACCCCCTCCCCCTCCCCTCCAACCTCAAACCCCCCACACCTGTCTCTGCAGCTGCAGCCAGCAAGACGCCGGCCCACAGCAGTAGCTGCTGTCATGCGGCATGCCAAACACCCTGTCCCCTCACAATGTCGACACCCTCCCTTTCCCTACCCCTCTCCTCAATCCACACCTGTCGCTGCAGCTGCAGCCAGCGAGACGAGGGGCCGCAACAGTAGCTGCTGTCGTGCGGGACGCCAAACACGGCCTCCACCCGTGTGCTGCTGCCAGCTGGCCATGCCACGTCAGCAAGGAAGATGGCGGAGTAGTAGAGCCCGTGGTGGTCCGCCACGTAGTAGCTCTCCACCTGGCATGGGCGGCAGAGGAGCACAGAAGTGGGCGGCAGAGAGGCGGGGACAGAGGAGTGGGCGGCAGAGTGGTGCGGCAGAGTGATGGGCGGCAGGGTGGTGGGCGGCAGAGTGGTGGGCGGCAGAATGATTCTGGGTAAGCATGGTGCTGCGGGTGGCAAGTGAGTGGCATCAGTGTAAAAGGCTATTGACAGTGAGTGAGTAGTTGCTAATCTCTCAGCCCAAGCACATCCAGTTACCAGCTAAGACAATGCACCTATGCGGGCTTATAGCCCGAGGAGATGTAACGTAACAGGGCAGAGCATCTTGGACCTGCGGGCCGTTGAGGTTGAACACCAATGCAGTTGAGAATCAACATAACACTAACGAATAGCAAGTTAGCAGCCAAGACCACGCACCTGTGCGGGCTTGTAGCCCGAGGAGATGTAACGGTGCAGGGCGTCTTGGAACTGCTGGCCGTTGAGGTTGAACACCAGCACCCACCCGAGCTGTTGAGAGGGGGAGAAAAGGCAAGGGGCGAGGGGCGAGGGGCAAGGGGCAAGGGGCGAGGGGCAAGGGGCGAGGGGCGAGGGGCGAGGGGCGAGGGGCGAGGGGCGAGGGCCGAGGGCCGAGGGCCGAGGGCCAAGGGCCGAGGGGCAAGGGGCGCGGGGCACGGGGAAAGGGGCAAGGGGCACGGGGAAAGGGGCAAGGGGAAAGGGGCAGGAGGCGACGGGCGGCGGGGGGACATTGTCAATTGGGACATTTTCAATTGGGACATTGTGATTTGAGACATTGTCAATTGGGACATTGTCAATTGGGAAGGACATGGGACGGAGGGGGGACATTGCCAATTGGGACATTGTCATTGGGAAGGACGGGCGGCATGGGACGAAGGCATCCACGAAGGATTCCTTGAACTGCTGGCCGTCGAGGGTGAAATTAACACCCACACGAGCTGTTGACAGGGGGGCTTGGAATGAAATGAAGGGAAGGGAGGGGGGGGAAGACGGGGAGAAGATGTACCATCTCTCCTCAAAAGAGGGATGTACTCCAGCTTCCATCCAGGGAGAGCAGGGAGAAGGGGTGTGACACAGAGTGTGTGAATGGGTGGCAGATTTGTTTCGTGTGAAGCAAACTGAAATGGACTCGCCTTTTACGAATTCGGTTGCCAGAGGACAGAGAAGAAGATGAGCCGGCGTGGCGACGAGACAGCGTACGCGTTGAGAAAGGCCGGCGCGTGCATGTGAATGGGACACAGAGATGATGGGTGCGTACCTTCTATTGGTGTGAATCAGAGGGAATTGGCGGCATACCTTCTGGGAATTCGGCTGCCACAAGACAGAGAAGTAGACAAGCGGGCGAGGCGACGAGACGGCATACGCGCTGATGAAGGCCGGCACGTGGGAGCGCGCACGTGCGGAGATTAAAGACGTGAGGTCCGACGACTCGACGCGCGAGTCGAGAAACGGCCCCGAGGTCAACCAGCCGCCAGGGTACTTGCGCTCGAAATAGTCGGGCTGTGGGGAAGAGAGCGAGGGGGGAGAGAGTGAGGGGCGAGGAAGAGAGTCCAGAGGTGAGGTCCGACGACTACGCGTGCGTGTCGAGAAAGGGGCCGGAGGTCTGCCACCCGCCCGGGTACTTGCGCTCGAAGTAATCCGGCTGGGGAAAAGGGGAACATTGGGGTAGATATGGTAAGATGGGACGGGGGACAAGGGAAGGGGACAGGGGAAGGGGACAAGGGAAGATAGTAACAAGCGGTTCTAGGGCATCAGGGTGAGTCGCAGCTCAACTCACCGGTGCCCCGACTGCTGCAACATGTTTTACTGGCGTCCTTCTCACGGGAGAACACCTCTGCGCCGCATATGCTGGCGAAACACTCACCGGTTCCTCCGCATATGCTGGCGAAACACTCACCGGTTCCTCCGCATATGCTGGCGAAACACTCACCGGTTCCTCCGCATATGCTGGCGAAACACTCACCGGTTCCTCCGCATATGCTGGCGAAACACTCACCGGTTCCTCCGCATATGCTGGCGGGGAAACGCGGCTGCGTCTGCCGAGCTGTGCTTGAAGTGACGAGAAACAGACGAGAAACAGACGAGAAACAGACGAGAAACAGACGAGAAACAGACGAGAAACAGACGAGAAACAGACGAGAATACCAACGGAGTAACATGCGGTGCTGGGCATACGGGTGAGTCGCAGCTCAACTCACAGGCGCCCCGACCCGACTGCTGCAACACATTTTACTGGCGTGCGTCCCGCCAGCTCAACTCACCGGCGCTCCTTCCCGTCCACGTGGGCTTTCCAGAGGAAGAAACCTCCTCTTATGCTGGCGAGAATCCGAACTCGTGCTTGAGCTTGCCGTGCTGTAGTTTCCGTCAGAAGAGAACACCAAGGGAGTGACAGTGACATGCGGTACTATGACACCGTCGTTAAACTCCGTCCTGCTCGAATAGTTGTCGCTGTGACGCGGGCTGCCCCCGGCCGCGGCGGCGGGGGTACTGAGGTGGGATTCTGCGCCCCATCCGCCGCTGAACGCGGGGGCGGAGGACACGTGGCGCGGAAGCGTCGCGGCGAGGAGCGTCAGAGATAGAAGCGCTACGAGGATGCGCGAGCGTCGGAACTCCATTTGAGGTTGTGAACCGATGCGGCCCGGGGACGACTCGAGGGGTCAAGGGAGACTGCTAACGATGTAATGCGACGAGGGGAGCGATTCTGGGCGAACATAGGCCTGGCTTTCCGAATTCCATTTCTCCGGTAATAGCGCTCTTGATAACCACATGGTTGCCGAAGTTGCGTTGTCTGGCAAGGGAGGTTAAGGATTCTATATGAAATTGTACAACCTACTTAGCATCACTGGTTAGCTTAAAAGACATATTCTATTTCCAGCACAGAAATATTTACAGGATGTGCACCGCATCCTTATCACAACTTATTAGCTTGGCTCTCGCGTCCCCACTCCTCACTCTATGCTCCTCCCCTCTGCTCTCACGACTTCACTTACTTTCTCCTCTCTTCTCCACCTCGTCAGACTTCCCCTCTAGACCCCCCTCTCCCTACTTCTCTCCCTACTTCTCTCCCTACTTCTCTCCCTCAACTTCTCTCCATACCCCATCCGTCTGCCACAAAACAGCTTTTGAGGCGCCTCAAAACTCCCTCCACTTCTCTCCATACCCCATCCGTCTGCCACAAAACAGCTTTTGAGGCGCCTCAAAACTCCCTCCACTTCTCTCCATACCCCATCCGTCTGCCACAAAACAGCTTTTGAGGCTCCTCAAAACTCCCTCCACTTCTCTCCATACCCCATCCGTCTGCCACAAAACAGTGTACCGCTCACTCTGCTCGCCCCCTGATCCCAGCACTTGCGCGGCACAAAGGACACCATCGGTGGTGAGGGTGTAGTGGGGAGCGGAGGAGGGGGGAGCACGGGCAATGTATGCATCGAAGGTCTGTTGACGGGAAAGGGTCGGGGGGGGGGAGAGGGGGGGATTTGGGAGGAGCGAATTGTGATCTAACCAACCTAGCCAGCGAGCAGCTCAAAGTCGCTGTGGCTGCCGTCGGTGGTGAGAGCGAGGGAGTGGAGGAAGGGGGGGGATGGGTGATGTGCGCATAGAAGGTCTGTTGGGGGGACGACAGGAGAGGAGGGAAAGGGTTGTAGCGCGGGGGGGGGGGGGATTGGGGATGGCGGGCGATGTACGCAGAGAATTTATTTTGGGGGGACGACGGGAGAGGGGAAAATGGGTGGGAAAAGTGGGGAGATTGTGGGCAGGAGTCCCAGTTGAAGGGAGAGCAGGGACCCAGTTCAAGGCAAATGTAACCTCCCAGCACACCATGTGTTGGGTACTATCGTATCCGCGTGCCTTTAATCACCTGAAGGTTGACCGTGTACGCCTTGAGGAAGGTGGGAACCAGGGGGGTGGCAACGAGGACAGCGCCTGGTGCAGCTGGGCCTCTGTCCTGTCCACCTCAGCTTGCCACCTGGAAAGAGAAAAGCAAGGGACGACTTAGAGAAAAAGAAGGGTGCACACAAGAAAAGGGTGCAGAGAAGACAAGGGTACAGGGGGTGGGGGCGGAAGGGGAGGAGGGCGGATGAGGAGAGGCTATAGATCCTTTTATGTTCTGATTGAAGATTTGAATAGCAGCAACAGAAGCCGGGACTTCAATACCAAAAATAACCTTCTCATTCACCCCCACCTCTGTGCCCCAGCCATGGCCCCCCCACCCCCCCTCCCCACCTCTGTGCCTCGCTACCCACCTTTGGTGGGAGCGTCACTCCAGACATCCACTACCTAGACTGTGAGCTTGGAGCATTGAACAAACTGTGTGCAGCATACCGTATGCCTATCCGCTACATACAGCACACACCTGAGCTCACCCTACCCTACTCTACTTGCCCTACTCACAGCCTTTTGTCCGACCGTCACTCCACACATCCGCCACATAGACAAACTCGCCCTTGTGACAACCTCGCCATCCCCCCAGACATGCCTCCCCACATGCCACCCCCCTCCCCCCCTCTGCGCCCCCTCACGAGCCTTTCGTAGGACCGTCACTCATCACTCCAGACATCCGCCACATAGACAAACGCAGAGGGTCTCTCGTGAGGGAAACGCAGTGACTAGCACATGCGCAATAACGGCACACACTCTGCCTTGATGGGAGGCCAACCCTGTGCCTCACGTCTTCTAGAATTCTAAAAAACAAACACACCGTGAGGGAAATGCTTTGACCAACACATGCACAACAGTGGCATCTGCTGAGGTGAGCACACTCCGCCTTGATTGGAGCTCACCTCAGTGCCCAACTCACCCGCCTTTGGTGGGGGCATCGATCCACACATCCGCCACATAGACGGTGAGCGTGAGAGGGTCGTGCATGAAGGAGATGCTCAAAGGACTGAAGCCCTGCGGTAGGAAGCAGAAATGGGGGGTGAGGGGGAGTGTGGGGGGTGTGGGGGGGAGATTTAGGAGCAAGCATGCAATTGGAAGCGCAAGACATAGACCGTGAGCGTCAGGGCGGTAGGAAAACGGTGGGAGGAAAGGAGGTGGGAATCAGAACATGTGGTAGAGAGGCATGGACTGTGAGCACGAGAGAGTCTTCGGTGAGGAAAATGCTTAGAGGACTGATGCCCTGAGGGAGAAAGCAGAGGAGGGGGGTGTGGGGGGTGTGGGGGGAGATTCAGTACCAAGCCTGCAAGAGCGTGAGACGATCTTCGGTGAGGGAAATGCTCAGAGGACTGATGCCCTGAGGGTGACAGGGGGGGAGATGCGAACGGGCGACGGAGTCTAGTTTTGAGGCGCCTCAAGACAGGGGGGGAGATGCGAACGGGCAACGGAGTCTAGTTTTGAGGCGCCTCAAGACAGGGGGGGAGATGCGAACGGGCAACGGAGTCTAGTTTTGAGGTGCCTCAAGACAGGGGGGGAGATGCGAACGGGCAACGGAGTCTAGTTTTGAGGCGCCTCAAGACAGGGGGGGAGATGCGAACAGGCAACGGAGTCTAGTTTTGAGGCGCCTCAAGACAGGGGAGGAGATGCGAACGGGTAACGGAACAAAATAAGCTCGTCTCGTGGTAGAATCCTCTGTCAGGGGGTTGTTTTTTCAAGGGAATAAGCCCTCAGGGTGTCGCGGGAAAAGGCGCAACAAATGAGTTTAGCCCGGATCAGCCCTGATCAGCCCTGACGAGCCCGCGGTCTGTCTTTCATTTCATATTCGGTGGCTTGTAATGCTCATCTACCCCCCCTGTTGCCTCCGCACCTGCCACTGCAGCTGCCACCAACGAGCGGACGGCCCGCAGCAGTAGGATTCATCGTGCGGCATCCCAAACGCCACCTCCACCAGTGTGCTGCTGCCAGCTGGCCATGCCACGTCAGCACGGAAGATGGCTGCGTAGTAGAGCTCGTGGTAGTACGGCCTGCTATCATCTGCCAAGGGTAGCTCTCCACCTGGGCTGGGCGGCAGAAACGGGCCGCAGAAATGGGCGGCAGAAATGGGCGGCAGGAATGGCAACCGAAATTTGCGGCAGGGATGGGCTGTAACCTGAATGGATGTTAAATTAACGAGCAGCTTAGCCTTTTTATTAGTGCTACGCTCAAAGCCACCCCCTTGCGTGTGCACCTGTGCGGGCTTAAAACCCGCGGCGATCTGACGGTGGAGAGCGTCTTACCAGCACCCACGAGCCCGGCTGTTGGTTGAACACGAGGCATAGAAGAGAGGTGGGGGGGGGGGGGGGTGGAGAAGAGAGGGGGGTAGTGATTCCATGCTGTAATTAACGGGGTGATGTAGTGGGTGGGACAAGGCATGTAGCAGCAGCCAGCCATCGACGTTGAATACCAGCACCCATGCGCCCGTCTGTTGAGTGAAAACCACGGAGAGGAGGGGGGAGAGATGGGGAGGCTTGAGTGGAGGAGGCTTGTAATGGGACAAGGCAAGGCATGAAGCAACAGTGGGCCGTAGACGCCGAAGACGCCGAAGATCCACACCCAGCCGCTTGGCTGTTGGTTGAATGCACGCCGTGTGGAGAGAGTCGGGGGAGGGATGGCGGGTGGGTGGGTGGGGGGTTTGGGGGGGGCACTTGGGTTGAGGAGAGATGAAATGGTGCAGGGCTTTGACTTTTGAGGCGCCTTAGAAGGCGGATGCGGGGGGGTGGGGGTGACACTTGGGTTGAGCAGAGATGATATGGTGCAAGGTATCTTGCCGGCAGCCTCCCGTCGACATTGAAGACGAGCAGCACGCGCCTAAAAAACGCGCCCGAGTGCCGGTTGAAAGCGAGAGATGGAGGGGGAGGGGGGAGGGGGGCGAGATGGAAGGGGTAGGAGGGGATTTAAGACTTGGGTAAAGGAGCGATGTGGTGGGGCAGGGCGCCTTGGAGCAGCAGGCCGTCGAGGTCAAAGTCACCTGCCTGGCTGTTGAGTGCAAGACACAGAGAGAAGGGACAGATTGCATTTGAGTCGACTCAAAAGCGGTGTTGCCTTGGAGCAGCAGGCCGTCTTCTCACGAAGAAGGCAAGGAAGGGGAGGTGGGAAGAGGACGGATTGGAGATATGTGAGAATTCAGAAAAATCAGGAGCTTACATATTCAGAGCTCTACTTTTGAGGCGCCTCAAAATTAGTCAGGAGCTTACATATTTGGAGCTGGGTTGCCAGAGGATGGAGAAGAAGACGAGCGGGTGAGTGATGGCCCTAGGCCGCTACCGACTGAGTTAACAAGGCACGTTTGATAGGAGTCTAGTTATGAGACGCCTCAAAACTACGGTTAACAGGGCACGTTTGTTTGGGGGGTAGCACTGTAGCATATCCATCACCCCCCTGGAAGGAGCTTTCGTATTTTGAGCTGGGCTGCCAGAGGAGGGAGAAGACGAGCGGATGAAGAGACCAGGTGGAAACGAGATGGCATATTCTACTTTTCTGAGTGGCAGACATAATGAGCCAGCCCAGTTTTGGAAGTCGGGTTACCTTTCAGGAGTTGAGCTTATGTAATTGGCCAGAGGATGGAGAAGAAGACGAGCGGGTGAGGAGACCAGACTGCGTACGCGCTGACGAAGGCCGGCGCGTGGGTGCGCGTGCGTGAGGAGATTAAAGCCGGCAGGTCGGACGACTCGACGCGCGAATCGAAGATAGCTCCGTAGGTGAACCAGCCGCCCGGGTACTTGCGCTCGAAGTAATCGGGCTGTGGGGAAGGGTGAGGGTACGGGGATAGCGAGAATATAAGGTGTGAAACGGGTAAGATAGGACGGGGGGAGGGAGAAGAGAGTACGGCGAGAGTACGGCACGGTAGGCAATGGGGAGGAGGAAGGATTCGTTATTGAATGCCCCGAAATCGCAATGTCACGCGACATGCGATGCGATTCCGACTCACCTCAGCCCCGACTCGTTCGCGCGCGATGTCAAGGGCTCCGTGCTGTAATTGAAGACTAGAATTAAAGAACGCTGCCGTGCTGGGACTCCTGGTGGAAGAGAAAACAAGCGGTTCTACGCGGTTTCTAGGTACGTCTCTGCTCGAGTGGCTCTCGTCGTGACGCGAGCCATTGCCATGGCTAGAGAGGTTGAATTCTGCGCCCCATCTGCCGCTGAACGCGGGGGGCAAAAAAGCACCTCGAGGATGGGCCACGACGAGCAGCGTCAGCGGCAGATACAGCAGGAGAAAGATGCAGGGGGAGAGCAAAGTCATCTGACGGGAGTGTTGCGCTGCGCGAGCCCGAGTGAACAGCACATGTGTGCCGTGGTCTTTACGTGGCAGAAACAGAAGAAAGACGCAGGGGAAGAGCAGAGTCATCTGACGGGAGTGTTGCGGGAGCGCGTGCCTACTCGCGGGGGCACGGGCCTAATCGTAGGGGCGCGGGACTACTCGAGGAGTCTAGTCGACGGCTGAGGAACTCAGGCTGTACGAATGTGACTGATGGGGAGAATGTGAATGGCGAAAATAGGCGCGAATTTTGGGTGCGCTTGGGTTTGTGGTGTACATGCGATTATACTCATAAGTAGCAGATTTTATCAGAGGAGTACAGTGGAGTTGCACTTCAAATAATTATGGAAGTTGGAAAAATGCTTCGCAAATAGTATAACAAGAAATTGACGACTTCCACTTTGATTATTGTACAACATTGATAGACAAATCTGCGAATTTTGTTCGTGCTGGACGACACGTGCATGTTTGTCGTAAATTCGTTGCCAAAATCTGTGCATGGTTTACTACATTTCTCACATATGCGACCGACTATTTACAACATGGATTACATGCCGCATCCCATCATCACTTTAAGCTTGAAGATTTTGTGTCCCCACTACCTTGGCTTCCCCCTCTCCATCTACTTCCCCCTCTTGCTCTACATTCCCCTCTACCTTCCCCCCTATGTCCCCCTCTGCCTCTAGTCCTCTCCCTACACCATCAATTGGCCACACAATAGTGTATCTTTCCTTGGAGATTCTCCCTTTAACCCCACACGCAGGCGGAACAAAAGACATGACAAAGAGAGGGGGTTGCTTGATCAAGACAGCGAGCAGCTCAAAGCCGCTGCGGCTGATGTCAGTGGTGAGAGTGCGGTGGGGGGCGGAGGAGGTGGGCGGACGGGCAACGTACGCATAGAAGACCTGTTGAAAAGCGGGCGGCGAGGGCCAGAACAGGAAAATGGGTGACAGAGAGGAGAAGAGCGAGCATTTGGGATTTTGAGAAGTTAACTGGGGGGTGGGGGGGGGGGTGGGTGGGGAGGGAGAGTGGGCGTGCTGGGGGACAGGGAGAGGAGAAGAACGTGCATTTGGGCTGATGACAGTTGGGCGGGTGTAGGTGGGAGGTGGCAACCAGGGGAGGGAGCAGCTGTCACGGTTGTATCTCTCCCATTCCACCAGCCCCAGTTCTCACCTGACGGCCGACCGTGTACGCCTTGAGGAAGGTGGGAACCACGGGGGGTGGTAACGAGGACAGTGTCTGCTGCAGCTGAGCCTCTATCCTGGCCACCTCGGCTTGCCACCTGGAGAGGGAAAAAAGGCGGCAGGGAAGGGGGAGTGGAGTGTGGGGGGTTGGGGGGAGAGGGCAGCGGTCAGAGGAGGAGAGGGGATAGGACGACGAGGAACGAGGTCGAGAACATGGTGCCACGCGAGGCAAAAGTCAGCAATCTTCCTGATCGAGGCAAGATAAGCTATGCCAAACCCGGTACGGAAAGCAGGCCCTGGACTCGGGATGCGGGATGCTGGGATGCAGGGATGCAGGGATGCTGGGATGGAGGGATGTTGGGATGCAGGGATGTTGGGATGTGGGGGCACAGACCAGGCAAGCAAGCCATGGCTTCGGGATAGGCTCACTCACCCGCCCGTGGTGGGGGCGTTGCTCCAAACATCAGCCACATAGACAGTGAGCGCCACAGGGTCTTCTGTGAGGGAAATGCTCAGGGGACTGAAGCCCTGCGGGTGGTGGTAAAAAGGGGGGGCGAGGGGGGAGAAGGGGATCACATCAAGAAGAATAAAGACATGGAGCTGCCCATACCTGCCGCTGCAGCTGCCACCAGCGAGACGCCGGCCCGCAGCATTAGCTACCCATCCCCAGCAGCAGTAGCTGGGGTCATGTCACATGAGGCGGCGTACCATACCCCATGCAACTACCTCTCGACTCCCTGCGTTCTTCCCACACAGGCATCCTCTGCCCCCTCCCCTCGCCCCCCCACCCCCCTCCCCCCCCCTGCCCCCCCTCCCCTCCCTCCAGCAACACCTGCCGCTGTAGCTGCCACCATCGAGACGCCGGCCCGAAGCAGTAGCTGGGGTCATGTGGCGCGCCAAACGTAGCCTCCACCCGTGTGCTGCTGCCAGCTGGCCATGTCACGTCAGCAAGGAAGAGGGCTGAGTAGTAGATCTCGTGGTAATACGGCCTGCTCTCATCCGCCAAATAGTAGCTCTCCACCTGCACTGGCCGGCAAAGATGGGCGGCGCGGATGGGCGGTAAGGATGGGCGGCGGTGGTACCAGCACCGATTGGTGGGTGCATAAATGAAGGGTGGCAAAAATTACATGCAGATTGACCGTACGTGGACAGCTCAGGCTTTAATGTAAGGCTAAAGGGTTACCACCCACCCCTCGCACACCTGTGCAGGCTTAAAGCTCGAGGCGATCTGACGGTAGAGAGCATCCTGGAACAATGGACCATCGAGATTGAACAGCAGCACCCAGCCGAACTGTTGGAGAGGAAGACACGGAGAGAGGGAGACCAAGGTGAGGATGGTAGAGGGGAGGCGTAAAGACAGGGGTAAAAGGGTGAAGGCAGGGAGACGTGGGAAGCAGTGGGGAAAAGAGAGGTGGGAAGATAGAGTAGATGCAACAGCCGATTCACAGGACACAGGAAAAGATGGAGAATTACACTTTTGGAATTCGGCTGCCACAAGATCGAGAAGAAGACGACGAGACCGCATACGCGCTGATGAATGCCGGTGCATGGGTGCGCGTGCGCGCGGAGATTAAGGGCGGCAGGTCGGACGACTCGACGCGCAAGTCGAAAATAGCTCCATACGTGAACCAACCGCCAGGGTAGGAGCGCCCGAAGTAATTTGGCAACGGGAAAGAGATATGGGGACCCAGGTTGTTGTTGCTGGTTTTTTTTTTTTTTTTTTTTTTTTTGGTTGTTTTTTTTGTTGTTTTTTTTTTGGGGGGGAGGGGGGGGGGGTTTCTTTCTTTCTTTCTTTCTTTTTCAGAACCACAGAGTTGCGATTTGCACAACGAGAGTCCGGCCCACCTCAGCTCCGACCCTTTCTTGCACGAAACTTTGGTGGTGGTGCTTCAAGTTGGTTTGATGCAAATTCGACGTGCTGTGGCTTCCGGCGAAAGAGAACTCTAACGGTACCATGCGGCCTGTAGATCCTTCTCTGCCCGAACGGTGCTCGCCGTGACGCGAGCCACCGCCATGGCTTGAGAGATTGAATTCTGCGCCCCATCCGCCCCTGAACGCGGGGGGCTGAAAAAACGCCGAGAGGATGGGTCACGACGAGCAGCGTTACAAGCGGCAGAAGGACTAGAAAAGCGAAGGAGGAGAGCAACGTCATCTGATAGGAGTGTCGCGGTAGCGCGGGCCTAATCGACGGCTGACTGGTGTTTCTGGCAAGTAACACGCCGCCAAAAACTGATTGTAGGACTGCTGAAGAGAATGTGACAGTGGAAATAGGCGCGAATTTGGTGAATTCAGTAATGGATGGAGATTATACGCGACAGTAACAGACCTGTTCAGAGATAAGCATCGAGATACACTGCATAATGCTGTGGCGCAATAAACATTTACAGATCAATACTAAGAAATGCTGACGGCGACCTCCTTGATTGGACGGTACCGATGCGTGGTTCGCGACTCTTGACAGCGCTTTCTGTTGTGCTGGACGACGGTGCTGCTTGTCGTTGACTCGTTGACGACCTTCGTGCACGCCGTTCTTTCCCGAAAGTGCTTGTCAGGAAGCACTTCTCTACGATCGCAGGAATCGCACGTCGCAAGCCTTGACGGACAGCTCACTCTGACCCCCTTACCACGTCAGCAGCACATCACAAACATCACCAGAAAATCCCAAGCTTCCAAGGCCCCCCCTTTTTAGCCCTCAGCCAATCAATCTCTGACAAACCTCTGCCGAAGCTAAACACTCGCCGTGACGTGAAAGGCGAGGGGGTTCTGCATCACACCCGCCGTGCTTGGCGGACACGTGGAAATTCCTTACCGAGCCGGAAGGTCGCGCCGCCTTCTGTCGGGGCAACGACATTTCCATTTTCGAATTTCCAATGTGACCCAAACCAAACCGAGGCGCTTGTCTCCTGTAAATTTTGCTTCTGCTCCTGCAGCACAGCAGCACCCTCCCTCCCTTCTGACCATCTTGGGCGGGATGTGTGCAGGCACTTTTCTAAGTGCGCTTGTGCGCTAGCAGCAGCGATCACACTCACTCACTCACAGACTGCTGTTGTTTTTTTAGTTGTTGGTTGGTGGTGATCCCATGGTGCGATCAGCAGTTTTTCACAAATAAATACCACGTCACCCAACCTGTCCCCAGAAAGCGACAGACACGGTAGAGCTGATTTCTGCCAGGAGAGTGAAGCAAGCCGTTACAGTGAAAGTGTAAGATCTAGGCGCTGTGTGTATGCGGATGCACACAGGAGCATAGCGCAGGAAGCTTACGTGTTCAAGGATTCGTCTCCGGATTTAAATTAACCCGCCGTGCTCAGACGGTCCGTCCATAATCCCCTCTTTCGTGACGTGCACAGGCTATTTACCGCAAACCCTACTCTCAATCAAGAAATCTCATAAGCCCACCACCGACCGCATTTTCCGCGTTTTCCTCTAAGATCGAGTCGGAAATACTTGCATGCAATAAGGAGTGTCCTTACGATCGAGAATAGCCCCGCCATGGCTCTGTACGTCGCGAATCTCTGTCTCCTACCACCGTTCCTCGCTCTGCCGTCACTCCTTCAACACCACTCCACCACCCTCGCCCACCTTCGCGACGACGGCGGCGGCGACGGCTCCGGCGACGAATCATGTCGCACGGGCGACGGAAGCCGGTGTGACGACTCAGGCGCGCAAGCCATGATAACGAACCCCATGAAGAATCCGCTAATGGTGCCGATGCTAGAGCGAGAGCCGGTCATGGCTCACACGATCGAGTACCCGCAAGTGAAGGGGGCGACGGAGAAGAGAGGCCGGCGCGTGCGGTGGGGTGATGAAGCCGGCTTCTCGCTCACTGCCATTCGCGAATACGAGCCAAGGTGCGTGGTAACTCCCAGCGAGAAACGCCATAGGGGTTTCATAGGTGCGTGGTCCCCCCCCCCCCCCCGCCCCCCCCCCCCCCATTTCCCCACCCACCATGGACCGCGTTTTTATAGTCTGACCCAACGTGCGACCTTGAGAGTCGTCTGCCCCACCGTGCGACCTTGAGATTGTCGTATCACCCGCCGTGCGAACGTTAGCTGATCGTCTGACCCTCCGTGCGACCTTGCGTGCGTGCAGCGAGACGCGGCACCCGGATGACGTGGCATGGTGGGAGATCGAGGAGGCGGACGATGACGTGTGCAACTGCGCCATGCAGTAAAGTCGGAGGGGCGCACTGCTGCCACGGCGGAGCGGAAAGCTGCGCCATGCAGTAAGGCCTGAGGAGCGCCCTGCAGCGATGGCGGAACTAAGTGCTGCGCATGGAGAGAGGGAGGAGCTTAGCTGCGCCATACAGGGAAAGCGGAGCTGCGCCATACAGGGAAAGCGGAGCTGCGCCGTACAGGGAAAGCGGAGCTGCGCCGTACAGGAAAAGCGGAGCTGCGCCATACAGCGAGGGCGGAGCTGCGACGAGCTGCGCCCGGCGACCTGCCGTGCAGAGAGCTCCTACACAATACTGCACGTTATACACTACAAATACTGTGTGCACTATGCATTATGCACTCAATGCTGTGCTGCTCACTTCTGCATCGGACACGGTACATAAGGTACACTGAGCACAGAACAGCAGGATGCACACAGATACAGTGAGTGAAGCAACGAACAGGAAGCGCAGGAAGAATAATCTCCTGCCATGGCATCCAGGAGATTGCTTCTGCCTTACCGGCTCAGCAGGAGGTGCAGCGTAAGCTTGTGCAGCGTAAGCTTGTGCTTGATTGTGTGTTATACCTACCCGAGGTGGTTTCTAAATCTGGGGGGTGCAGCGTAAGCTTGTGCTCAGGCTGCTTGGTTGTGCGTTATAACTAGCTCATGTTGCTTAGGAGGAGCTATCGCCCCATACGTGTGAAATAGGCCCACATCGTAGAAGGTCCATCAATTTTCTAGACACGTGAATTCTGGAGAGCAGACCTCTCAAACCAGTGTTGTTTCTGTGAAAGGCACTAGTCTACTCAGTGTACTAATTAGTGAATTAGAGCGTGTTCCTACGAGCCTCTTCCCAGGCAACCTCTTCCCAGACTCACGCGCGACCTTGAGAGCGTGTTCTCAGGATAACTTTTCGGAATACTCCCGTTTCATATTTGCTTTCCACCGCTCTCAACCACATAAAACCAGCTAGCGTCGAAAATTTACTGTGCAGATTCGTGGTTGTCTGAAAATCTGCTTGTCTGAAAGGAGGTTTTAAAACACGCCCCTGAATCTCGGGAAGGCGATTTTCACTTCGCACTTCGCAGAATCGAACTGAAACATTTCGCGTCAAAATTTGCGACACTGTAGCACGCGAGTCTGGGACGAGGTTGCTAGGGAGGAGGCTGGTAGGAACACGCTCTTAATCTACTCGGTGTCAGCCTCTAGCAGTGCTCTACTCGGTGTCAGACTCATGTTTGGGTTTTGGACTGATCAGCGAAACAGTGTCAGCTTCTTGCCAAGCATCGTCAAGATCAATTCCATACAATCCTGGCACCATCCCACACATCCTAGTTTGGCGTCGACTCAAAAGTCACCTTGCCACAGCTCATCAACTGGACTCAGGGCGGATTCCTACAAACTGGGATCTGGCGAAGTTGGATCTACTATCGCGCACTGCCGAGCCAAACCGAACAGCACTGATTGCACATTTTCGACAAATGCACTGCACTGTACCACGCGCCTTGGATCCAACTTCGCTGGATCCAACTTCGTAGGAATCCGCCCTCAAGTTAATACGACCCTAGCACCATCACTCACATCACACACCACCACCATGCCATGTGGCTGACACGCCTCTGCCAGCTCAGGCTGCCTCCGCGAATACTCTTCCGCCATGTGGTGCGCTACAGCTGCGATCCTCTCCCTCTCCACCAGAGCCACACAGCAGCCCCTGAACCCCGCACCACTGAAACGAGCCCCGAGCACACCTGGTGTCGCGAGGAGAATTGAGCGGAGCTCAATGAGAGGAGGGCTACCTGTGGTGGAGACAAGGGAGGGAGAGAGGGAGGGAGGAGGGGGGGAGGGAGGGGTCAAGATAAGGAAAGAGAGAGGGAAGCAGAAAGGATGAGAGCCCCCCACAGAACCATTTTCAGCTACATCTAGAACCGCTCCCCACCGCACTACATTGCACACTCACCGCACTTGTAGTTATCGGTGTAGAACAGCCCAAACAGGGGCCAGGCTCCTTGCATCAAGGCAGCGCTCCTGCAGCACTCGAGCGCTGAAAATCGACAGGCATGAGAAACCTTCAAACCCCACACTCACCGCACTCGTAGTTGTCGATGGAGCTCTGCCCAGACTCCGACATGAACAGACCGAACAGGCGCCAGTCGCCCCGAATCAAAGCAATCACTCCAGCACCCCTCCTCACCGCACTATAGACCACACTCACCGCACTCGTAGTTGTCGATGGAGCTCTGCCCGGACTCCGACATGAGCTGCCCAAACAGGCGCCAGTCGCCTTGCCTCAGGGCATCGGCTCCTTGCAGCACTCGAGCGCTCTCAGAGAAGAAGTGGATGGCGCGACGGCACAGGGCAGGAGGCAGGACGTGCTGGACGTGGGGCGGAGAACAAAGAAAGGTGTGAGGAAGGGAGGAAGAAAAGAAGAGACATCCATCAGACCCTTAAGGCACTCGCGCGCTCTCAGAGGAGAAGTGGGTGGCGTGGCAGCACAGGGCAGAAGGGAGGGCGTGCTGGCAATGGGGCGGGGAACATGGGACGTCACGAAAGACCCATGAGTATCGGCTCATTGCCGGAATCGAGAGCCTTGCGGTGGGCGGTGACGTGAGGTTTGGTGAGGTGAGGGGAGCAGTGGGGTGAGGGGAGCGGTGGGGTGAGGGGAGAGGTGGGTGAGGGGAGAGGTGGGTGAGGGGAGAGGTGGGTGAGGGGAGAGGCGGTGGGCGGTGGGCGGTGGGCGGTGGGCGGTGGGCGGTGGGCGGTGGGCGGTGGGGGCGGTGGGCGGTGGGCGGTGGGCGGTGGGCGGTGGGGCGGGGGCGGTGGGCGGTGGGCGGTGGGCGGTGGGCGGGGCGGTGGGCGGTGGGCGGTGGGCGGGGGGCGGTGGGCGGTGGGCGGTGGGCGGTGGGCGGTGGGGCGGTGGGCGGTGGGCGGTGGGCGGTGGGCGGTGGGCGGTGGGCGGTGGGCGGTGGGCGGTGGCGGCGGTGGGCGGTGGGCGGTGGGCGGTGGGCGGTGGGCGGTGGGCGGTGGCGGTGGGCGGTGGGCGGTGGGCGGTGGGCGGTGGGCGGTGGGCGTGGGCCGGTGGGCGGTGGGCGGTGGGCGGTGGGCGGTGGGCGGTGGGCGGTGGCGGTGGGCGGTGGGCGGTGGGGCGGTGGGCGGTGGGCGGTGGGCGGTGGGCGGTGGGCGGTGGGGCGGTGGGCGGTGGGCGGTGGGCGGTGGGCGGTGGGCGGTGGGCGGTGGGCGGTGGGCGGTGGGCGGTGGGCGGTGGGCGGTGGGCGGTGGGCGGTGGGCGGTGGGCGGTGGGCGGTGGGCGGTGGGCGGTGGGCGGTGGGCGGTGGGCGGTGGGCGGTGGGCGGTGGGCGGTGGGCGGTGGGCGGGGGCGGTGGGCGGTGGGCGGTGGGCGGTGGGCGGTGGGCGGTGGGCGGTGGCGGTGGGGGTGGGCGGTGGGCGGTGGGCGGTGGCGTGGGCGGTGGGCGGTGGGCGGTGGGCGGTGGGCGGTGGGCGGTGGGCGGTGGGCGGTGGGCGGTGGGCGGTGGGCGGTGGGCGGTGGGCGTGGGCGGTGGGCGGTGGGCGGTGGGCGGGGGCGGTGGGCCGGTGGGCGGTGGGCGGTGGGGGGGCGGTGGGCGGTGGGCGGTGGGCGGTGGGCGGTGGGCGGTGGGGGCGGTGGGGGTGGGGGTGGGCGGTGGGCGGTGGGCGGTGGGCGGTGGGCGGTGGGCGGTGGGCGGTGGGCGGTGGCGGTGGGCGGTGGGCGGTGGGCGGGTGGGGGTGGGCGGTGGGCGGTGGGCGGTGGGCGGTGGGCGGTGGGGGCGGTGGGCGGTGGGCGTGGGCGGTGGGCGGTGGGCGGTGGGCGGTGGGCGGTGGGCGGTGGGCGGTGGGCGGTGGGCGGTGGGCGGTGGGCGGTGGGCGGTGGGGCGGTGGGCGGTGGGCGGTGGGCGGTGGGCGGTGGGCGGTGGGCGGTGGGGCGGTGGGCGGGGGGTGGGCGGTGGGCGGTGGGCGGTGGGCGGTGGGCGGTGGGCGGTGGGCGGTGGGCGGTGGGCGGTGGGCCGGTGGGCGGTGGGGGGGGTGGGCGGTGGGCGGTGGGCGGTGGGCGGTGGGGCGGTGGGCGG